AGTTGCATTTTGCCCTATTTGAAAATAGCGAATTTTTTATATCATACGATTTTCATCAAACTTGCACCTTTGTAATGTATCTGTAGAGTCTGTATACCTAACAATAGTTTAGTTACTTCAGTTACAAATCAAAATAACACTTGCAAGTTGCCAAGTTTCTGAACCAAATTACCTAATTAATTCAACTCTCAAATGTAATTTCTAATTAACAAAGCAGTGAATTCAATTTCGGTTACAGTTTAACTAATAATTAAGCGGTTGGGCTCAACTTTTCAGTCCTGTTGATTATTTGCGGTCTGCATACATTGCAACGAAATATAGGTGGGTAGTACCTACCTTGTTTTATGCCAATTACAAAGCTTTACATAAATAAATTAATATAAATAAATATTGAAACTTTTAGAATCTTGACGATTTATTCTATAATATTTATAATGTTATATTCATTGAGTTAACTGAAATTTATAAGACATCTATAGAAAACTTTGTTAAAATAATCATCATGACATAAATATGATTTGAATCATATAATAAAGTATTATTTATTTTTAAGTGCATTAAAATTATTATTACACTTACTTTGGAACATGTTATTTAAGTATTAAAGGAACTGTGGTTATTAAAATAAACTTTTATTCGTTTTGTGTATCTACATGCCTCACAAAATTTAATCTCCTTGACAAGAAGCAGAAACACTTGAATACAAACTTATCGTACAGAAACTTTTAATTTTCCAAATTGTTTACATTGCATATAGACTTTGTACAATTTTAAACTTTGTTATTAACAAGCGTTATTAAGAAAAAGGGAAACTTGATCAAAATCTGCTATCTAAGTAATTATTAGGGTAAAGTAGACAGTTATTGGACAATTAACATTAATACTGTAAAAACAAGCTAAATTATAAATATTTTAGTCGGTAATAATATAAAACTACTTTATTTTGGGTCCAATATAGGATAAACAAATTCGCACGTTACTTTAGTGCTAAGATTTTTGTTTTTTTTTTTGTCAAGAGCAGGGCTGTGTTTAAATTAAAATAAAAAATATTTATAAAAAGTGTACAGATCAGTGTGTGGTATAAATGTGTTCCTCGTGGTTTAAACATTGTCACTTTAATGCGTTTTAATTTTAATTCTGAAAACAAACAGTAAAATGGCCAGAGTCCAATTACTGGGTGGTAAAAAATGAAAATTTCTATTATTGGACATATGTCCAATATCATACTTTATTTATATCCCGGGCATTTACCAGCCAATTCTTATGTAAAATTTTCCCCTGAATCCGAAAAGACCATCAAAAACTATAAAATTTAAGCAGTTTTTAAGATATAGTCAATTCCATATTATATGTTAAATTTCAAAAACTGTTCTATTTTTATAACTTTTGACGACATTTTCGGATTCAGCGAATAATAATTTATAGGAATTGACTGCTTAATGTCCTGTATACAAATTGCTGTTGACGAGAAATATTAGTGGATGCTTTTTCGCTATGACTTTTTTGCCTACTTTATTTTTAGAGAGTAAGTAATATAGTCATAGGGCATCTTGCAGAATAACAGTGATTTAAATACAGTGCATGATAGAAAACATAAAAAACTAATGGCAACAAAATTAATAAATTCGGAAAATACTTTTAACATACCACCCGAACAAATATTAGATATATATAAATCATCCTGTTCTGGCCTAAACATTATAAATGCTTCACAAACTAGAGATACCACACTGATATTTGCAACAAACTATTTCAGAAGTCAGACCAAGGAATTAGTAGTTACCTTCAGAATCCAGAAAAGGAATGAGGAGAGAAAGAAATATATGAATTATATTATATTTACAAAAACGCAATAAAAAATATTAACTAAAACAGCAATTTATCTTTAAAAAATATTTAACAATTTTTGTTATTTGATGTAAAATTGTATGTCCAATAACTACGGTCCATGTATCCAATTACTATATAAAATGTCCAATTACTATACTTTTTTGCATGTTTTTATAAAACTGTTATTAAAAATTCAAATATTCTTATTTTTAAGTAAACGTAAATAAAGTTTAAACAAACATATATGTATAATCATAATATATTATACATATTACCTATAGGTAATATATATATATATGTATAATATATTATGATTATAAGAAAAAAACTAAAATGTTTAAAACAACGGCATATATAAATTTTAAATAAATAATATTCATTAAGTGTCCAATAACTATGTGGTTTACCCTATGTCTGGAAGATGACACACATTTAAAAAAGTGGAAAAATAATTAGTTGCAAAAATGGCGGATGCGCCGGGATATTACACAATCTACTTTTAATGGTTATAACTCAAGTAAAAATAAGTTTAAAGAAAAACTTTTAATGTTTTTGGATTAAACGTATTTTAATTGGTATACCTTAAAAATTGCATCTAAATTAAGTATAAACCTTTTAATTATAAAAACATTGTATTTTTTAAATTTTTACAGAGATTTGTGAAAGTATTTTTTTGAACAATTTAAGTAAAATAATACGAATAAAACAATACATACTACTACAGTTGATTGTATAAATAAACTTTATTTAATAACTAAAACATTTCTAATTAAATTAGTAAAGTAAAAAAAGTTTTAATTACTTTGAAAGAAGTCGTGTTGTTTATGTACTTTTACTAATTTTATTACAGTAATATTGTTTCAGCCAAACCAACATAAAATCCTACAAGATTTAGGGATATAAACTCCGGAAAAAAGGTCTGAATCAATGGACTACTTGTTATAAATGGTTTAGAAAAAAGAATTGATTTTCTTTAGAATGCTTAGAACAAATAAAAATGTTATAAAGTAATTTTAAAAATGCCATATAAGTTTTGTTTTATTAGAAAACTCGACAATATAATACATGAGTCTTTTGTATGGTTTTTATCTTCTTTATTTTTGCACTCGGGGCATATTAAAGCATTCAAAACAAATAATGCAGTATTCCGTTTATAAATTGGAATTTTGAAAACGTTTAGACACGTTTATATTGAAAAAATTTCCTCTTGAGATACTGAAAAATAACCTATAAATATACAGTCCATTTTTTTTATTTGGACTCGTGTTTTTTATTAAGTAGTTTTAGCATATTTAGTATTTAAAAAATGGTACTTCTGCTGAAGACCTTAATTAAATACTCTGACACTGTCAAATTATTTATTATAAAACCACAAGTTGTTACAACTAAACTTATATTTTTAGGTTAAATTTCTAATGGAAAAGATAATATGGTAGATAGAGTTTATTTTACAATGTAAAGGAAGTTTTCCTGATTAGAAGTTTAAATATTAAAGTAGAGATTGTAAAGCGACTTTAAAGGATTTTAAAATGGCAAATAATGTTAAATCTTTAGAGCAAACTTAATTAAATGTCAAATATGAACTACTGCAGTGCACTGTTTTGCAGGATTATAATAAGAAGTAAATTAAAAGTACCTATTTTTAATCTAAAATTTCTTTAATCAAGAGTTAATTTCATGCTTAAAACAAGACCAATTTGAACCCGACAAGCTTATTAAGAACTTAAGGATTTAATAGCTTATTAAAAAAGTTACTAATTAAATGTATAGGGTAAACTACATAGTTATTGGACACTTAAGGTATATTATTTATTTAAAATTATATATGCCGTTGTTTTAAAGATTTTAGTTTTTTTCTTAAAATTATAAAAAAGGATATTTTATTTGTTTAAACTTTATTTACGTTTACTTAAAAATAAGAATATTTGAATTTTTAATATTAGTTTTATAAAAACATGCAAAAAAATATAGTAATTGGACATACAATTTTTATATAAACATAACAACTTTACATCAAATAACATAAATTGTTAAATATTTTTTAAAGATAAATTGCTGTTTCAGGTAAAAAATTTTATTTCGTTTTTGTAAATATCATATAATTCATATATTTCTTTCTCGGATTCCTTATCCCTTTTCTGGATTCTGAAGGTAACTACTAATTCCTTGGTCTGACTTCTGAAATAGTTTGTTGCAAATATTATTAAGTGTGCTATCTCTAGTTTGTGAAACATTTATAATGTTTAGGCCGGAACAGGATGATTTATATATATCTAATATTTTTTCGGGTGGTACGTTAAAAGTATTTTCCGAATTTATTAATGTTGTTGCCATTAGTTTTTTGTGTTCTCTATCATGCACTGTATTTAAATCAATGTTATTCTGCAAGATGTCCTGTGACGAAGAAATCACTATATTACTTACTCTCTAAAAATGAATTAGACAAAAATGTCATAGCGAAAAAGCAGCCACTAATAATTATCGTCAACAGCCATTTGTATCCAGGTCATTTAGCAGTCAATTCCTATGAAATATAATTCGCTGAATCTGAAAATGTCGTCAAAAGTTATAAAAGTAGAAAATAATCAGTTTTACATATAATATGGAATTGACTATATCTCAAAAACTGCTTAACTTTTATAGTTTTTGACGGTCTTTTCGGATTCAGGGGACAATTTTACATAAGAATTGGCTGGTAAATGTCCGGGATACAAATAGAGTATGATATTGAACATATGTCCAATAATAGAAATTTACATTTTTTCCAACCAGTAATTGGACACTGGACATTTTACTGTTTGTTTTCAGAATTAAAATTAAAACGCATTTAAGTGACCATGAGGAACATATTTATACCACACACTGATCTGTACACTTTTTAGAAATATTTTTTATTGTAATTTAAACACAGCCCTGCTCTTAACAAAAAAACAAAAATCTTACCACCAAAGTAACGTGCGAACTTTTTTGTCCTATATTGTAGTTCTATATTATTAACGACTGAGATATTTATAATTGTATACAGCGTCATCTAATGATTTGACTTTATGGTAACTATTTATAGAACTCTTGTTTTAACTATAAAGTGTCCAATAACTGTCTACTTTACCCTACCTATATTTTATATAAAAAAAGTTTTTGTAATAAAATATGTTTTCTTTTATTTTCAGATGCTTTCGGACATGGAAAACGTCACCAACCTAACCGAACTATACGAATCATGCGCCGATATCTTAAACGCGACATACAATAAAAGTCTAGACGAAAATTTCGACATATGGCTATACCTGGAATGTGTCCAAGGGGCTCAAAGGCAGTCCCTGTATATTATAGTCCCTATTACTATAATAAATTTAATTATTTTCGTAACGGGACTTTTCGGAAACTTGTCTGTATGTATAGTGATAGTTAAACAGTCGACATTGCACACTGCTACAAATTATTATTTATTTAATTTGGCCGTCTCCGACTTGATGCTACTTGTGTTTGGTAAGAATTTTAGCACATTTTTTTAAAATATTTAAAACGTTCATCGACAGTTCTCGGCCATCTTAATCATCATACACCCTGTATATATAATGAACAAAAACCAAATTTTATTTGCCAAAACAGTTTTATTATTTTTCAAAATAATTTGTGTTAAATAAGTTATTTGGTTGAAAAGAAAATTTTTAGCATAAAATAAGTATATAAGTAAAATAATATTTAGTGGATTAAATCGAATGTTTAGTGAAATACATTGATTCCATTGCGTTAAAACCATTATTACTGCAGGCAAAAACCTAGCGGTTAGATGGTTGCCTATCAAAAGTTTTATAACATCACTTGTAGTAACGACAGTTACTACAATGTTTGTATATAAGAGTTTCAAAATTATATAATAACACTTTAGGTAACTTAGATAGTCCTATAAAACTGGACTAGTACCTTAGGTTATATAAAATTACCATACTACTATACTTAAGCAAAATAAAGATATAAATGTAGGTATTAAAAAAATATTTTCATATATTTTTTAATGATATAAAAAATATTTATGTTTTGGTATTTTCGAAGTATTGTGAACATATTTACAATAAAAATTACTTTGCAATTTAAGTAGTATTGAGTAAAAAATCGTAGATTTAATATGCTTTCGCCACTAAAATAGGTACCGATAACCTTCACTCCCCAAATAAGCTCTTTAAGGGCTATATAAGAGTGATATATATATTTCTGTAACCAGATTAAGAAATTTAGGTTTTATAATTTGGATGATAAAACATTTATAAAAACAAAAATGTTTATTGGGTAGGACACTATGTAAAATTTAATAAATAATAATAAAAATATTTCAAAATGTATAAAAAGTAAATATTTAAATAGCTATATATTGAAATATTCCATATTTTACTAAATATTTTAACGAAAAAAAAAACAATTTAACAAATTAACTAATAATTAAATTTTTAACCAATTTGGTTGAATGTCACCAACAAAGATAAATTGGTTATAATTGAGTCCAAATTTATTTTTATTTTAATATATTATATTAATATTTTAATATGTAATATAATATTTTTAGAGGGCCATTTTAAATAAATTCAGTTATCCTTAAAATCAATTTATTTACATATTATATGGTTTTAAACAATTTTGCTTTGTTTCAAAATACATTTTATTAAAATAGATAATTAATTCTTGTAAAGTGCTAAATGTATGCCTTGAAACCTTATTAAAATAACTACCCAAGTTAGACAGTTAATAGGTGTAATTTATTTCACAGGAACTTAGCAAGTTATAAAATAAATCATACATTAAATTTATCCTTACAATAGGTATATATATACTTATAAGTATATCGATTACATTAAATTTAACAAACTAAAGCCATTACTAAAAAAACATTAAACAGACTTTCATTTTACTTTTTATAATTTATCTGTACATGCATGTAAAAAAACAATTTTAATAATTCTGTAAGCTGGCTATTTAACTAAAAAATCCATGTACTTTTTAATAATAATTTGTTAAATAAAAATTCTACTATAAAAACGTACATATTTACATATTTACAATGTAAGCACATAACCTAAAATTTGAAAGAAATGCACTAGATTCTGTCATAAAAGTTGACAGATTTTGTACCTTCATTACAAAAATGACAAAATCAACAATTAATAAAAACGCCAAATTAACAATTTGCATTGTTGATTTTGTCATTTTTGTAATCAAGCTAAATTTAAACAAAATCTGGCAACTTTTTTTAAAGAATCTGGCAACTCTGCTTGTTACCAACCATAACATAATAAATTAAATTAGGCAACCAGATTAGCCTAAAGTTCCTAGTCTTTATGGACCCTAATATATTACATTAATTACATAACACCCTGTATATCGTAAAACACGAAAAACATTTCTTAAAAGCATTTTTTTTTCAATTCAGGCCTCCCGAATGATTTATTTTGCTATTGGCATTTGTACCCATGGGAAATGGGACAATTTTTCTGCAAAATTCGAGCCCTGTTGTCAGAAATGTGAGTAGTACCAACAACAAAAAATCAAAAAGAAAACATAAAATCTTAATTAAAAAATAAACATACAAATTACTACTTTTTTACTCTCTTTAAATGAATTAGTCAAAAATAACTAATTATAAGTCATATTTGACTAATTGTCATAGCGAAAAAGCAGTCACTAATAATTATAATTAGTCAAATTCTACTGAAAGAAATAGTCAAATTAGTATATTTAAATTTAAAAAAGTTTTGACCCAGCCGGGGATTGAACTCAGGTCTGTCGCTTGTCAAGCTGTTGTCATAACCAATGTGGCCATCAGTCGCTCTTATAAAAATCAATTTTATTTGTCAATAAATATTGTTCATAAAATTTTAAAGTTGAATATATTATTTGTGTTGCTGTTTTGAGCTAAACTTGTTGCATCTTTGTTTGTTTTTATGGGTCATTTAATCAAAGATGGTGACTAATATTAAATTAGTCAAACTTTAACTATTTACGTAGTAAAAAATAACTATTTAAAAGTGAAAACGACTATTTTATTAGTAAAAAAAGCTGGTAGAATTTTGACTATTTCATTTTACGTATACGTAAAAAAATACATTTCCCACTTCATTCTTTTTTTTTTAGGGCTTCATATGTTTCCGTGTTGACAATAGTAGCTTTTTCCACTGAAAGGTACCTCGCAATTTGTTATCCATTATATTTGCATAAAATGAGCGGGTTTCAAAGAGCATTGCGAATTATTACCGTAATATGGGTGATTGGATTCATTGCGGCGTTGCCATTTGCCATTTACACAACCGTTAATTACAAAATGTGGCCGAATACATCCATCTACATTGAGGTAAGATTGTCAATAAACAATTTGTACCACTTAAGGTAACGATAAATTATATAAAGGTTTTATAAGAGTTGTCAAATTATATGGGTGATTCTACAAAAGTTGGACAACTTGATGTCATCAGTCAATAGAGTAGGTATTTTAATATTTTTTGTAAATATTTTAGTATATTACAAAAGATCCAGGTTTTTTTAACTTGTCCACCCAATTTTATTGTATTTTTTCAAAAGCACGTTTGTAAAAAAACATAATAAATATTCAAAACATCAGTACCTTGGCGTGTCACAACTCCTGAATCAAATATTTGAGTGGTTTTATTTTAAAATATATTCAATTTATCTTAAATTTTTCAATTTCACTACAATCTATAAAACATTAAATAATAATAATATTTTATCATAGATTCGAATAATAGCAATTTTTAAAAAATTGATAATCTTTGTACTCACTTTTACCCGTCAGTTCTGTGACCAATGTTTAAATTCAAAATTGAAGTTTAAAAGTCAAGTCCTCGTTTTAACTCAAGTGTTGGTAAAAAATTACCTACAGTCCGCCCTTTGCACGACAGTCATCTTGAAAACAATGCAAGCGGCGAAGTTGTGGTGAATGCACGTATAGTTACAGTCAAAGTTTCAGTACTGTGGTGAGTAGTTATTTACTTACGTATATATATTTCATAGTAATTTATATAAGGCTATATGTGATTTGTTGAAAAGTAGCATCCACTAATGAAAAGTAACAGTAAAATACTTAATTCCGAATTATAATCTCATCAGTACCGTGTCGTCAGTTCCATGTTCGATGTTTCAGTTATCTTTTTTTCGCAAACTTCAATTTAAATTCTGCTTGCGCAGAACGTTTTTATTTAATGTCATTATAAACTTATATAAATTTGGTGTGGGTCCCATATATAATTTAAAAATCGGTATACCCAAAATCCACCAGCCGCCACTGATGTGTGGTATTATTTGATTTGGGCCCGTTCATTAATTACGTGAGGTGTTTAGGGGAGGGAGGGGGTCGAGCCAAACCTCACCAAATCTCACGTGGGGGGAGGGGGGGTCTCGGCAAATATCACGTAATTTTTTTTTCCGAAAGAAAGAGTGTAAAATTGCGAGAAAACTGGGTTAAATTAAGTAAACAATTATAAGCAAATTGTTTTTTTAATAAATCTAATGGAATCAAGCACAGATTAACTTATTTACATTAAAACCATGCATTTAAAAAAATCTCACGTGAGATTAAGGGGGGAGAGGGGGTCGAGCAAAATCTCACGACATCTCACCAAGGGGAGGGGGGGGTCGAAAAATCGCCAAAATTGTCTCACGTAATTAATGAACGGCCCCTTTTAAGATATTTAATGTATAATATGCTCAAAGTTGCAATAAATCTTATATTTTCCAATAAATTATACATTTAATTAGTACCCTGGTATACTCGTCACTTCCCTTGCATTCAAATTTAGAAAATACAGATATTTCAGAAACTGTTTAAAAAAGTGACTGGCCAGGTCTGGAATAGTATATTTGTTATATTATCTATGTTCTCATAACAAAATACTGTTTAATTTTCTCCGAAAACTATATAAACCAAATGAGGTCAAAAGTTTCCCAACTTTTGTAGAATCACCCATATAAGAGTTTAACAAGGTTTTATAAAATCGCCCTTTAGTCTACTAGTTTTATAATGGTCATATAAGGTTACTGTAAACTCTAGGTATATAATTAGGTTATATAATTGTTTTTACAAACATTTTTTATAACCTTTAGTAACCGTTACCAGTAGGTATATAAAGGAGTTTTATAAAGTTTACGGTTACCTGTTTTATAAAACTATTGTGTCTTTAATTTTTTTAAATTAAAATTGAGTTATAAGAAAAATAGCGTACCTACCTATAAAGAAATATATGTTTTAAATGTGCCTGAGGGAAAGAGAAATATTAAAAGAAGGAAAAAAGGCGGCAGTTCTTTAGGAAGTTATATAGTGGTTTCCATAATATTCCTGTTATCTCTAGTTATAAAATTTGGGTTTTATAGTGTTACTAAAATAGGTATCGATAACCTTCATAAACTCAAATAAGCTCTTTAAGGGGTATATAAGAGTGATATAAATATTTATGTAAGCAAATTAAGAAATTTAGGCTTTATATATATGGATGATATAACATTTATGGAAACCACTATAAAAACAAAAATGTTGCTGTTGCAAACAAAACCAGTGGCTACCTATCAATTGCCTGAAAATTACGTTAATTTTCCGGGATGACAACTTATGTAAAACAATCAGAGCAGGGCATTCGTCAACGCATTTTGTATGCTGTGATTGATTCAGAAAATAAAATGAAAGAATGCTTATGAGAATGCTCTTTTGCCACTTTTAAACTTGCAGAAAAGGGTACTAAAGGTAATTCTGGGAAATGATCAGTTTTCTGACAACCACCTTAATATTTATCAAAATTACTATTTAAAAACCATACTTATCAATTTTAATAACTTGTGCATTATGTACAAAAATAGTAATAAAACAACTAGGTTTAAAAGTATTGTACTGCCAAAAGTCAAGCTTGCAGTTGGTAAAAAAACTAGTCTCTACAATGGTATAAAAATCTTCAACATGTTACCTAATAACATCAAAGTAGTAAATAACCCAAAAAACAAATTTACTTTTAAGTTTAAACAAATGTTAAAAGACTGGATTACCAAAAAACAAATTTACTTTTAAGTTTAAACAAATGTTAAAAGACTGGATTACCAAAAACTGTACCAATAATTTATTGTTAACTTAATAGTATTAAATGTTGGAATTATAAACTGTAGTCGCAATGATAATAAAAAAATTATATATTATTTTAGTTTTAAGATCTTAGTTTTTAAGTTATGTACCGGACCTATGAACAGGTAATTTTTTACCTCCAATAGGCGGAAATTATATTTTCTGTACACGTGTATCTGGATGTTAAATAAATAAATAAATAAATCCTATTTGTTCTAAGGAATCGGCTTTCTGTGGGATGCTCGTACAGCCTCTATATCTCTGCGAAATAAGCACCATAACTTTTTTCTTGCTGCCTCTGCTGGTTATAGCGGTGCAGTACAGTCGTATGGGGTTTAGGATATCAGGGACCGTCAGGAAATCCTTGGGGAAGGACCTTAAAGGATCAGTGCACAGGACTAATAGAAGAATGCAGAGAAATAAAAATGTTATAAGGATGCTGAGTGAGTTTTTTGTTTGGTGTAGGCAAAATTGTTGTTTAAAAGTTTGTTTTTATGACTTTGCTTTAGCACCTATAGGTTTCTCTAGGTAAAGTTTCGTATGTAATAAATTAATTTTACTAAAAGTTTGAAAAGTGCTTTTAATATATTTTGCTTGCATATTTCATTCAATTTTCATTAAAATGTTCTAGGAATTTAGAAATTTTAATATGTCAGTTTTGCTAAATTAAAATTCATAATTTCATTTTTAGTCACTACAATGTTTGTAAAAAAATACAGGAAAATATAATTAAAAAATGTTTCAAAGCAATTCTATCATGCAAATAAAAAATTAATTGTTATTGGAAACGTAATACCTACCTACCTATACAGAATTACAGCATTCTAACAACTTGTGTGAAATTTATTCAGCTCGTACATTCTGCTTTGCTTCAAATAAAACGTAAAAAAGTCTATCACATTTAAATGAGCAGTAAACAATTTTTTTATTGAATCGAATAACAACTTTAGATTTAGGTATGATATTTTTAATAATTTTCACAATGTCCACCTCACCTGAAGATATTATCCTATAAAGCCAAAATTTTAGCATAAATAGTACAACAAAAATAAAACTTTTGACTATTACAAATATGAAAAAATGTTTTAGACAAAATCTACCTATTTTTAGTCAAATGATCCGAATCTGCAATAAAAAAATAGGGTGTTCCATTGAAAATTTTAAAGTTATCCCCTTTTATTCTAAACATTTTTTCGTTAAATGCATACTGAGATGTTTCAAAATTTCAAGTTAAATGAGTCACCCTGTATATAGAAATTAAATATAAATTTGCACAATAAAGTAATTGTGTAGTTTGGATTTCGTGTTACAATTGTTGAAATTAATTGGGAGCCGCTCAGATTGCACTAAACCGTCAAATTAAAATCTACTAATTGGCCATTTGTGGTCCAACTGCCTTGTATATAATCCTTAACACTACGCTCGTCACATGCGAACGCCTAATTTTGAGGGGTAGGTATGTTTGAATATGCGGAAGGTAAATTGCAAATAATTAAATAACACAATGTGATGTACCTAAAATTATATCCTATTAGCAATTCTATTTAAATATATTTTGCATATCGTTTAAGAAAAGTAAACCAATACAAAACGGTTATTACTTATTACACAGTTCCACACGATTTTCCTCCAATGAAAAATTTTAACAGATTTTAAAAATAAATTTGTATACAGACATTCTTTTTATTTTAACCTATACATACCTACTCTCTAAAAATTAATTGTCATAGCGAAAAAGCAGCCTCTAATAATTCTCGTCAATAGCAATTGGTATCCCGAACGTTTAGCACTCAATTTCCATGTAAAATTGTCCCCTTAATCCGAACATGTCGTCAAAAGTTAAAAAAGTATATCAGTTTTTGAGATATAGTAAATTTTCCAATTAATTTGGAATTGACTATATCTCAAAAACTGCTCTACTTTATTAACATTAACTAGCCAAACACTTTTAAAATTTAAAAGTAATACAAAACTATAGTACCGCAAAATGGGGTGAATGGGAACTAAAGGGGAAATCGGGACAAAAGTGGGAAAAAGTTTTTAAATATTTCTTACGTTAATTTAAATTGACAAATCAAAAACTTTTGTGGGTTTTCATGTACAGGAATGTTGTGTTTGCTAGTTGGTAGCATTGAAAAATTGGTAACAGTGTAGCTGTCACTATGGGCTAACCTCAAATTGTGAGCAAGTTTTGTTATCGTATGGGTGCTCCGAAAAGCTTCATCTGGAAAACGTAAAAGGGGTAAATGAAATAAGCTGAAAATTTCGTGATTGTTGTCTTAGTTATTCATTTAAAATATAAAAAAGTCAAATTGTTGAAAATGTGTTCCACTTTTTCCTAATAATTTTATTAAAAAAATTGAACCGCATTTGGGTGAATCGGAACAGGGAAAATTTTGAAATTTGGACACTTTTAAAGGCTTTTTTTTTATTTTTTATTATTATGTTGATTTTTAGAATATGTATTTTATTTATTTTTATATATTTTATACGTTTTATAAATAATAAAAGAAAACATTTTTGAGTTATATATTGGTCTTTTTCTTCCCACCCAAGGTCTGAATCACATTTTATGAATTTTTCGCCGCTTTTAAAAAATATATATTGTGTTCCTATTACACCTTTAACGCGTTAAATCGGCATACAACTTGTAACAAGGGAAAATAACATTGGTGTTCCTATATCGACTGATACCGGGGCAATAGGAACAAAGCACATTAAAATAAAAAAAATATATTTTGGAAAAATCTATTATTTTCAAATTTTGGTTATAGGTAGCCCAGGACCCCATAGGACTTTTAGGCCCAAAACGGTCTTTAAAAATATTACTATACGGCCGCTGTGATTGATCAAATGTCAAAAAGTGTTCCCATTCACCCCATTTTATGTCAACTAGATGAAGACAATAAAATATAAAATTTATTTTATGAAATATTTTAATAAAAAAAATGCGTAACTGTAATAATTTAAAAACTAAATAGTATATTAAGTAACAAGTTTGATAAACGCCATTTTATACACGAATTTAATTTAGGCACGAGCAAGCTTGCGAGCGAGTTCTTAAATTAATGAGTGTAAAGAAAAGTTTATAAACGAGGTGCATACTATACTTTTTCTACGACAAATACTTTATATTATTTTAAAATGATTTAAATAAAATATTTTTATAGAGCGCTATCTATGAAACAATAGGGGAATCTGTGTGTCACCGTCAAATGTCAAATTTTTATATTTTATAAACACAGATTATAAAAGTTATAAATCGAAATGTATTTCTTGAAAATAGACAGTTTTTTACAATGAAAGTAAAGAAAATGTTTTATGAGCACTTTACAGTGGAGTCGTGCCCGAATTTAAGTTATAGTTTACTGCCGGCGAAATTAAAAGGTCAGTACAATGTTCATATAAACTTTTCAATATTGGCGTTGAGAAACTATTTAATACTTTTGTATTTTTGCATTGAAATAATAAAATAATTTTCACATTTAGTATTATTTTACAAGAATGGCACTTTATTTTAACGATTGTATGACATTTGACAACTGTCAACTAACTTAAAACTAACTTCAGCCCGTGACTAAAAACCTGTTGCTAACTTCAGTCCGTGACTAAAACCCCGTAAAGCCACAACTTGTCAATGTGTATTTAAAAGGTCACTTAGTGTCATGGAAACATGTACGATAATGGTCGTTTTAAAGATGGGAGTAGAAAAAATATTTGAATTAAAAATTTGTATTACTATGTAGATATAAAAACAATTTTGTTGTAAAGTTTCACGAAATTTATTAAATTTTGACAGCTGTTTCGCTACACAGTAGCTTCTTCAGAATTCTGAAGAAGCTACTGTGTAGCGAAACAGCTGTCAAAATTTAATAAATTTCGTGAAACTTTACAACAAAATTGTTTTTATATCTACATAGTTAATATGGAGTTTCATCAAGTAAAGGTCGAAACAATTAATAATTTGTATTACTAATTTATTTCTAAATGTTTAAAGTGTCTTTCAATTACATTCAAGAATTTCTTAATTTATACTTCTACTTGACTATTCTGGGTCTAATATTAGAAATTGTAAAATATCTCTGAACTTATTAAAATTAGGTATAGGTATATATGTTACATTTAAAATAAAAAGTTATTAAAGTTTTAAGTTAGCCTATGTTGCCCTGGGTTTTCTTGGATAATTTGTTCAAAAAATGTTAAAGAATTGACATGGAATCTTTTCAACAATGTTTCAAGATTCCAGAAATTCCACCCCTATTTCCGCAAACCTAATAACAAAAAAGTTATAAGCTATTTTTGATTGATGCGAATGTATTTGTCAAATTTTACGTAGAATTTAAAAATGTAAAAATATATTTTCTTTTTGAAATAACAAAGTTGATGTCACCTCCGGTCAGTTGCAATTTGTCACAAACGTGAAACACCGTATTTCGTAAATGTGCAACACCCTGTATATAATTGAAACAATTTTAAAATGTAGCTTTAATGGTTGTCCACATAGATTAATAACCTCTGTCCATTTATTAATAAATTTAGTAAAATTTTTTTTTTTAATATAAAATTTATCTGTTATCGAAGCTGTTAAAAATCAAATTTTGTCGTACTGTGTTATAATATAAGTAGGACTACCCTTTTGCAAATGGATTTTTGATACAAACACTTGAATTATTATAACAATCCAATTGGTCCGTTTGAGAAATTCTTACTCATATCATATCATACTCTCTTAAAATGAATTAGTCAAAAACAACTAATTATTAGTGATATTTGACTAATTGTCATAGCGAAAAAGCAGTCACTAATAATTAGTCAAATTCTACTGAATGAAATAGTCAAATTAGTAGATTTAAATTTAAAAAAGTTTTGACCCAGCGGGGATTGAACTCAGGTCTGTCACTTGTCAAGCAGTTGTCATAACCAATGTGGCTATCAGTCGCTCTTATAAAAATCAATTTTATTTGTCAATAAATATTGTTCATAATATTTTAGTTAAATATATTATTTGTGTTGCTGTGTTGAGCTAAACTTTTTGCATCTTTGTTTGTTTTTATGGGCCATTTAAGCATGGAGCATATATGCATTTAATTCAAATAATACGTTGTTGTTGGCCGCAAACGATTAAAGAAATTGGTTACTTTTAACTCTCAGAAATAGTCAAAGATATTTCATTTTATGTGTATACACTAGGGTGTCCCTTATTTTTATTTTATTTACGCATACCCTCTAATTATACTTATTACGTGTTTATATACTCCCAGTAAAAATTTCAGCTCATTCTATAAACGGGAACCCGTGCCGACTTGCATCTAAACCCTCCGTTAGCCAACGTTAGGCGCGCGCGGTATTTTGTAACACGAAACACTTTAAAAAGAAGATATACTTTATTTTTCTAATGATTTTATTAAATATGATTACTAATTAATATTATTGCTTTTGTTTCTATCATTTGTTTCACTAATTTAGTTGATTTTATCCCTTAAATATATTAATATACTAATTAGTATTGCTAAAATATACTGTTATATGAAATTTCAGCTTTTTATAAGCATTTCTTTTCTTGATGTCCTCCCAAAAATATTTCAGACAGTCCAATAAGTTTTCGGTAGTCATCTCTCACAATAGACTCTTTTAGTTATTTAGAGTAAAACCCATTAAGTTTATCAATTTCAGAGTTTACGGCCTATTCATCAGACCCTTCCGGGTAACTAGCCACTCCCTGTGAAAATATACATTTTTATCAAAGTATACACATAAATAAAATTATATTTTAACATTTGTCAATAATTTATAATATAAGGGTCACATAATAACAAACACAAAATGACTTACGATCGAAGACCTCGCGACCAACCGTGTTACAAAATACCGCGCGCCTAACGTTGGCTAACGGAGGGTTCAGATGCAAGTCGGCACGGGTTCCCGTTTATAGAATGAACTGAAATTTTTACTGGGAGTATATAAACACGTAACAAATATAATTAGAGGGTATGCGTAAAAAAATAAAAATAAGGGACACCCTAGTATACACACTACTTTTCGCCAATTTTTAAATATCGCATTTTTTCAGGTTTTGTGGTTTTGGGCTTTTTCTTTTCGTGGGCGCCCTTCCACGCCCAGCGCCTGGTGGTGTTCTACATGCTAGAAAACGAACACAGCGACGAAATCATGAGATGGATGTTCATCACAACCGGTTTGCTGTATTACTTTTCGAGCACCTTGAATCCAATCCTGTACAACTTGATGTCGGATAGGATGAGGAACGCTTTTAGGGAGATCATTTTCCGCAAAAAACCTTTGAAAAGTTCAGGGCACAACTCAACCTTGGTAAGGGGGTTGACGTATCATCCCCAGAACAATTCGAATCTTGACACAGATACTGAACAACTGATGACGAAAGACGTCATCGTTCAGACGTCATCGTGCAAAAATAAACCCATTTATGAAAAAAATGGTAAAAATCTCGAAACAGCAATATAAGTATCCCACCTATAAATATCTACGCACTCGCTTATACAATAAATGTTTTTTATGTCTGTGATATATGTTTCAATAAATGTACTAAAATAACTCGTCTTTTTATTTATTAAATATATTTAAATATCACACAATTTTAAAACTGGGCACAGGTGAGTTCACTGATCCCCAGAAGAAAACAGTTTTGGTCTCCTCGTGTCGAATGAAAAAGAAAAACGGCACATCCACTCTAAACGGAATCCTACTCCCATCCCGGCTTAGGCTTATAGCCGTTGAAGCTGCAGCTTCAGTCCCACTTTCAGTTATATCCATAAATACTTTATGAACCACTCTGTCAGCGTATAACCCCGGATTCATAAAATTGTTGTCGCTGGATTGTTCGTTGATGTAGGTCCTTATTGAATCCAGAGTTTCGACGTCTTCCTTTATTCTTCTACTAAGTTTAGTGGTTGTGTTTGTGGTGCAATTGCTTACATCCCTGAGTCTGCTGAATATCAGGACGTCATTGTCGTTCTCACTATGTCTGTTCACTGGAAGTGGTAACGGAGCCTTCACTGGTATAGATGATGATGCCATAGGTTTTACAATGTCGCCTCTAACTCCTGGTGATAGTAATCCCAAGTTCGCCTCACTGGGATCAAACAAGGTCTTCACACCAAGACTCTGCAGTGACTCCTTCAGATCTATAGTACTCTCTATTCTCATTTTTGGGAACAACAACACAGCCTTGGTGTAGACAGTGCTGTCTACAAGTCTGTTAATATCTTCCGGTGTTATCCTTAACTCCAACTCTTTTAGTACGTCTTTGTTTGAATTAAAAGGCATCACAACGTACATTGTGGTTTTATTTCCTTTGTAAGGGAAACCTAGCACTTCACAGTTGAGGTTGTGGTCTTTGTAGTAAGGAAAATAACCTCCATTCGACATCATTTCTACCTCGATTGTGGCCTTGGATTTTCTACCGTTCGTATAGAAAGGACGTCTAAAACCAAATGATATTATTACTGAATAAAGATCATTGTAAACTTACTTGTTGGTTGTTCCAGGGAAAAAAGGGAACTCCCACTGGGCTTTAAAGTACATGGCACTCACAATTACAACCCTAGTGCTCTGTGGTAAATCATCTGCAATAATTTCAGTAATTTTTCCATTGGTCTTCGACGATACCCAACTATTAATGTTCTGTTGCGCTAAACCACTGCTTTTCTGGAAGTCAACATTCAACACTTCACTTCCGTAAATCGACCTTGCCGTTTCAGCATATAAAGCTCTTATTGGGTAGTCAGCTTGCACGAAAATAGCGCTGGCGATGTTGACTTCTTTCCCTACTTCTATGCCAGATTTGGCCTCCATTTTGCGTATCATTCTACCAAATTGTTCGTGGATTATTTGAGATTTTACGTTCAGTTTTTCAATGCCTGTTGCTAACCCCATTACAGAGGTTATTTCCTGAAAGGTTTTCCCATTCGAGCCAAGTAAGATCAAGGCTAGAGCACCTACAGCAAATAGAGAACATTATTCTGTTTACTCTGTTAAATAATAAATATGTCACAACTTTTTGTTAAAGGCAGTATAGTATTAAGTTTATATTTTTTATATTTTCAATGGAAAATTGTTAGATTATACCCGGAGCATTCGCCATTTTTGCAAAATTTATAAAGACGTTAAAATATATAATGAATAGAGCCCAGACTTACCTGTTATGCTCATAGGTGCAAAAACAATGTTCCTTGCGTGATCCTTGGCACTACTAGCAATAACTTTATTAATGGCCAATGTTGTCTTTAGAATACCGTTTGATATAATCTGGTCTACAGCTTGTTCATACTCCTGGGTGCCCCTTATAGTGCTTAGGTTTTTTGTGGGGATCATGGGGCTCAATGGAGCTGAGGCCAGGGCTGCTTGGGGGTACATTTGGCGGTTCGCCACAGGCATATCGTCATCTTCGGGAAAATAGAGGTTTTGGGCTTGAAGATGTTGGAGGAGGGTGAGGAGGGTTAGAGTGGGTAAAATTATCTGAAAAAAAAATTTTGTAAAGTAAATAACTATTTATTTATTGTTGTATTATTATAATGCAATAATTGATAATGATAATTATTTTACAGGAAGTGTCACAAAAGATTTATATTTAACCTTAACATAAATACGTGATAAATTTTAATAATAAAATTGTAACAAAGACTTTTTTTAATTTTTGATAGAAAAAACTATTTAACAAACAAACTAAAAATTGTTATAATCCTAAAAAATATTGAATAGATAAAAGCATATATCCCTATAGAAAAAAATATTCTGATGAATTTTTAAAAATAAAAAATCTTTAAATAAAAGTTCGGTTTTTTATTCGGAATTTGACGTTTGATTATGTTGGTATTGTATATATACAATACCAACATAATCAAACGTCAAATTCCGAATAAAAAACCGAACTTTTATTTAAAGATTTTTTATATATATATATACTGGCATTTTTAATATTTAAAATTGGCACTTCTGTTCAAAACCCTTATTTTAAATACTTTGACATTTGTCATTTAACTGTCAGAATTATAATAAACATACATGCGTATTTCAAATACGGTATTCTTATAATTATTACATAACCACAATTATGTTCTTCACTAAACTAGTTTGCCAACTAAACCTCCAAATTTTTTACGTAAAATTTTGAATAAATAAAACGAATTGTAGGTTTGACCAAAATGGTATATTATTATACGAGAGATAATGCAGGCTATTATCCACAAGTATGAGGTTTGCGTCTCGAGCCGTCAGGCGAGAAACGTAATTCATCCGAGTAAATAATGCGCATTATTTCGAGTGTAATACTATGCTTTTTCTACTCCAATTAAGTAATTTCCATTGATAACAAAATTTATTATAACCTCACTTTTCCCAGATTTTAAATATCATTATAGTCGCCCCTTGTATATATAAACAAATCTGACATCTGTCAACCTTACTTTTTCCCAATTTAAAACCTGATTGGTTCAAATAACAGTGCATATTGAAATCAGCCAATCACTGATGCCTAACAACGTGAATAATGAGTTCATTATTCACGTTGTTAGGCCGGGCGTTATATTGGTTATATTATTGACATTATTTAGTTTTTTTTCCGTAAATATATTTACGAAAAAAAACTAAATAATGTCAATAAAATGCAATAGGAGTCAGTGGCGGCTGGTGGATTTTATGTATAGCAATATCTCCGTTATTAGACATGGGACCCACACCAAATTTATAATAGTTTATAATGATATTAAATAAACAAGTTCGGCGCAAACAGAATTTAAATTGAAGTTTGCGAAAAAAGTTGTTTTTTTCTGTGGCCTCACCCGCCTCTAGGCAAATTAAAGTGGTGTAATTTATTATCTCCTAAAATTTATCGACAAATTTAAAATTTTATTTAAAAAATCCAAATATTACAGATTTTATTCGATTTTAAATTTTTATTATTTATTTTATTAAAATAAAAAAATATTTAAAATGGTATAAAACCTGTAATATTTGGATTTTTTAAATAAAATTTTAAACCCCCTGTATCTGCAATATTAGGTAATAAAGATCATTTTTATTTTTTTAACAATTAAATGAACCATATATCTATATATAAATTTTATTGATGTATTTGCCAGAAGAAATGCATTATTAATATTAATACCTATTGTATTTTTTCCAACTAGTTTAGCACGTATTTACTTATAATAATTATGCTAATAATCCTTATAAATTTAATACGGAATTCCCTACATAAAATAAAATAACACAAAAATATTTAATAATACCAGTTTTTTAGAATAAACATAACAAGAATTAGATAAACAATATTTCGCCAAATTTTGCTAAATTAGAATTTTATTTAAATTTTGAAAGAGTACAGTTACCTATTTGTATTGGTTGTGGAATATTTTTGTTAAGCAATTTCTGTATAAAAATAGAATACGCAAATAAATTTAGCATTTTTGTTTTGTTTTATTATTATAACATTGAGTAACTCAATGATTATAACATTAATTTGCTTTAAAGTCCATGTAGTTTGTATACAAAATAACAATAAATATCAAAGAACTTACCATTTTATGTAATTATATTAAAAATAATCAGTCTTGTTATCGAAATTCATCTAAATAAAAATACACACCAAGATAACCATTTACACTAACTTAAACACAATAATTGACTAGAGGTGGGTTGCTATCGCGTAAGCTGCTATTTTTTAACAGTTATTTTGCTGAAGCAGCTATCACTGTTACCCGGTTTTAAAAAAAGCTGCTACCAACAACATAACCTAACTCCGCCGTTTGTGATCGCATTTAACGTATTGTTTCGAATTCCGCTATATCAAAAAGCTGCTACTCGGCCTTGGACAGCGCCACTGCTGTTTGATGTCGGGATTTAAGTAAAATCATTTTACTAACGGAGGTAAAGTTACAGCATTGGAGACTAATTAATAATATGTTATACACTTTAAATAAAAATGAGTTTTAATTTGCAGCCGAGTAAAAAAAATTTTAATTTTTAAACTCGGATTTTTAATACTAAAATTTATTCATATCTAAGCTATTTTTAATTTTTTAAACCTAATCCTAGCATAGAAAATCATTATTAACAACATTATAATTTCCAATCATTGCAAAAGATCGCGATTATTTGCTAGTAAAGATCTCTGTGAACTCTCCCTAGACGTTTGTAAGCCAAGCAGAAGCGATTCGCTACTATAGCGCTACATGTTGTATCATGATAGCGCTATAGCAAACCCAAATAGCCGTTTTAAAATGAAACATGCGCAAGAAACACGCGTGCCGCTGTCAGCGGCTGTGGTCCATTCCCACGAGCACCGTTTCGGATAAACTGCTTCTTTTAAGCAGCTATTTGATAGCTGCTACTTAAAAAAAGCGGTAACTGTTTTAACTGCTACTTAAAAATAGCGGTTTAGCCCACCACTATAATTGACTATAATGATTTTGAAGCGCTACATGTGCAACTGGCTGACCTTCCACTTAAAATCCCCCACTCTGTATAAAACAAATGAAATAAATTTAAATTTTTTACTATGTGGCAAAACACAAAAAATAATCAGTTTGTCACAATGCAAAGAGGTCAATGTCAACTTTACTACTATACAGTTATTTCGGGTATTATCTTGACCCCTGTTTATTTTTCTCCTTCTTGAAAGATAAAAACGGCTAAAAACAAAGACGCAGTGAAACGAAGGCTAAACACTACGTGATCTGCAATATAATAAATATAATAAGGAAAACCGTATACAAAATATTCTTTTATTACAATTTGTTTCATCATCTTATTTAGGCAGAACAAGATTAAGAAGGTATACTTACCTAGGTGTTTTTATTGTGTAGGTACTGCGCAATGGAATTAAATTAAACTGCGCAGTACACCACCTATATTTACCTAATTTTTATATAAATATTTTTATTCTTATACAATATGTAATTAAACACAATTGAATAGGTCAATGCAGAAACTGAATATGTCCACTTTTTAGGGCTATTGAGTTAAACATGGATTTACTATAAGTAAAGGGAGCCCGATCGAATGGCGTAGAAATTTCACATGTCACGGTAATCTAGAATATACAAAGGCGTTAATATAGTAGAGAAACTGAATATGTCCAGAACATATGTCCACTTTCTGTTCAGTTTTTCTTATTTATCTCAAAACTAGATAGGTAGGACATATTCAGTTTCTGCATTGACGTATTCAATTAATATTGTTTAAAGTAAAAATTTTGACATTTATGTTGCCTACTTTGTAAACTGAGGGCTGTATAAAATCTGTATTATTTTTTATTTATTTATACGCTGGTATATTAGATTTTTATAATAAATTATATAAAAATGATTGCTACTCCCAACAATAAAATAAAACCCAAAAAAAATCCTTTTAAATCACTTTATTATCAAAAAACTCAATCACAATATTTTGATTGGACTAATGTGGAGGGGGTACAGGCATGACTCCTCCCATCATAGGAGGAGGAGGGGGGAGGGGGTTGAACATGGGGGGCCTTGGTGGTGGTGGTACTGGCATCATTGGAGGAGGTGGCACTCCAGCAATAATGTGCCCTGGTCTGGTTATTATGGTGGTGCTCTTTTTAGCTTCGTTTTTAAATGCAAACTGCAAGAAAAATTGCTTTGTGTCTCTGTTCCAGTGCGTCCAGAATTTCGTGTCGGTTTTTTCGACCTCGCGACTCGGTACTTTGAAGCCAATCGTTTCGTATGGTTCGGCTGCGAATAGCAGGTATTGCCATTTGCGGTCTGGCGGCTCAATTTTTTGCTCATAGGCTGACATGAAACGATGACGTGGTATCACCATGTCACCAATTTCTAAAAAAAGACACCAAATTATAACCGTTTTTTGTTGATTTTTTACACGAAAAAACCTTTAACGCAACCAGTATTACATCCACGCGCAATCTCGGTTGCCTACATAGGAACAAAGCAAATATCTGTTTGACATTAAAACTGTCAAAATAACTTGTTCAATTCTTAAAATTGGCGTTTGAGTGTCAAAAATAAGCTGTCAAACAAAATAAAACTGTCAAAATACAGATTTAATCCACTTAAAATAACTTTAAATAGGTACGAAAAATTAATAAATTTTACCTGGATAATCAATCTGAAATAGCAAGCTCTGCTGCCCATTCTCAATATCCCTCTGCTTGGTGACCCTGTAACCAGGCCTACCAATCTTCACAAACTTCTTGGGTTCAACTCTTGGCTTTTCAGGCTGGATTAGCGAAGGTGCATCTTTTGCCTCCTTGGCAGCACGTCTAGCCAAATTGGCTTGATGCTTTTTACCCTGAGTATGCGCCAAGTAACTGCCCTCGTTATTATGCAGCGTCAAGCACAACTTACACTCATATGACCCCAAATGGTTTTTCATAAAATAGGGGTCCTTCTGAAGATCTATAGTTTCCAACGCAAGTTGTCTTAAACGTTCTCTGCGGTCTCTGTTGGTTTCCGACCATGACGCCACACCGCCGCCGCCGGTTTTTCCACCGGGACGATTTTGAAAATCCATTTTTAGTGATAAATTACGAAAAACGAATACAAAGCGCACATAACATAACCCTACTTCGATATGTCAACACAGTGCTGCCAACCTTAGAAGAAAAATGTTTGTTTTCTACGAGAAACTTAAAGTGTACACTTAAATAGTAAAATTACACTATAAATAAGGTTCATAATTAAATATTTTTTTTTAGTTTGCTATAATAAACAATTATTATCAAGAAAATTGTCTAATTTAGTCATAGAAATAACACTCAGTATTATTTCTATGGTTATTTCTATGAATTTAGTATTTTTAGAAAAAGAAAATGTCAAGTTGTACTGTCATTTTTTTGTGGTTATGACATCTGTTTACAAAATATTTGAAAATAGGTATAAAAAATCCAAACAATAAAAATAAATGCTGTAATATTGCGTAAATTCTGAAATTAAATAACAAAAACTTAAAAAAAAGATGTGTTATAAATACATAGACGTTTCTCTATAATTGTGGAATGATGGAACTGGAACAAATAATAATAGAAAAACTGTACAGCCTAAATACGTGTAAATTTTGTATTAAACGATTATTGGCTGCTAATGATGAATCTATACAGGAGAAAATAGATACATATGTATGCATACATTATGAATAATATTTATATCTAATTTAATATTGTTTTTTTACTGTCTGTTAGGTTGAATCTTATGGTAAAAACCATGTAAAAAGGTATAAAGCATCCCCCTGTAAATCTTGTTTGGATATATATAGTTATTTAGATGAAATAGCCAAAAGAATAGCTGAAATGATAACAAAAAACAATCTGGATAATTATCGACTAGTAATTAAAGTGCCCTATGCTATTATTATGAGAAATAAATCATTTAGTGTATTTTTAAATGAAAAATATCCTGAATATTACAAAGGTAAGTTAGGTTATTAATTTTTTTTACAAATATGGTAACATATTTTTTAGATAAAATAATACTACAACCTTATAAACCTTTGTATTTTTTAATAATGAATAATTTGCTGAAAACATACAAAATAAAGTACAGATTTCTCTCAAATGTAAGAATACACATTAATTTTGAGTACAGTGACGACAAAAAGGAATATTCAAAACTTGTAAAAGAAGATATAGGTGCTAAAAATTTTAAGAAAAAAATTCAAATGACTGGGAGTTCCATTATCAAAAAATATGTTGGAGTGCCCCCTGATACACCCACTGTCCCGGCTATTTTAAGAAATATTGAATTAATAATTCAAAAGTATTATATTGGGGGAAGGTACCTAAAATTTGATAAAAATTTTAGTCAGGGTATTGGCGAAAGGTCAATTACTAATCTGTTCAAAAATGTTATGTCTAAAGTTTTTGGGTAAGTAAATTTTTGTTTAAAATTTTGTGTCAACCAGGTATTTCAAAAAATGTGAGGTTGACTCAATCTTACATTTTTTGACATACATAACCTAAAATGGTACTTTTTGACATACACAACCTAAAATGTCAATTTTAGACCTAACCCAAAAGTGCATTTTTTAGGATAACTTCTAGTGATATAAAAATATATTTTTGTGGATCGGATGGGCTAGGATATAGAGTTTTAGGTACAGGTCGGCCTTTTTGTGTAACCTTGTGCAACCTAAGAAAAAAACCTGACGATAATTCACTTGAAATAGTTGCGGAATTATTAAACCAAACATCGAGCTATAAAGTCTCGAGCCTAAGTTACGTGAGTCCAAATGATCTACTTGATCTAAAAGATAAAGGTGTTAGTTGCACGAGAACTTTTCGATACATTTGCAAAATACAATGTGCAGAAAAATTAGGAAAGGCTATACAACAAATATCGATGTTAGACAAAGATGGGTTTTTTATTAACCAAAAGACCCCATTGGGGGTGATACGTCAACGCACACAAGGTGTTAGAACCAAAAAAATTTTGCATGTAGATGCTAGTACAGTCCAAGGTAATTTAAACTGAAATATATCATTTGACATTTTAAGGTTAAGGTGATCATGAGATCACTGTGTAATTGGCAATTAAACTTTCAAACTGTCAAATTTAATATAGGAAATGTCAAATTTTTTAATTTGTCAAACATTACTGAAACGTCAATTTTGACATTTTAAACTTTTAAAGTTAAACAGGTTTACCTAACAACTATTGTTATATTTATATTTTTATATTTTTAAACTGTCAAACTTAATTTTGAATTTTCGTACAAATTTTATGGCTGTCAAAGATTACTTTGTATTAAAAATATTGCTCAAAAGTTAAATAACAATTATACAAATAATTTTAATAATTTTAGTAGTAATGAAACAAGTTTTTTCAAAATTTTGTTTGTACTGTGGCGGACAGGGAATTTCGAACGACATAATTTGGGTTTCCTTGTGTGATTCTGTAAATAGCAAATACAATAATAACTATATTTGCTTTTGCTGTCAAAATTACAACTGTGACAACCGGAAGTAAGGTTAAATTTTGATGTCAACGAAATGATGGGCGCTCGAAATTCCGTGTCCGCCACTACTGTTCATTTTATCATTTATTTAAACTGTAAAATTTCACTGGTAAGCTGTCAAACATGACTATAATATGTCAAAAAACTCTAAATAAATTCACTATACCTACGCTAAAGAAGTATCGCTAGTGGCGCCACCACTCAGCTGTTATCAGCGTAACAAAAGTAGAACTTTTAATAATCAGCTGTCAAACGCTTAGGTTACAAACGAGTGGGTTTTTGAGAATAAAGCCGGAAAATGTTAAAAAATATCGGAAAAAAACCGTGGATCGATTTGTTTTGTTGTTGGGTGTATTTCGAGAGGAAATCCTAGGTTGAGTTTTTACCTGTTTTCCAATAAACAGTGTTAATCTGAATGAAGAAATAAATTGCACACACTCTCTGTAAATATAAATTGTACCTATTGTATAGGTACAATAAATACACATTTTAGTAGTGATTAACGTGAAAAGTGTAAACATTTCAATTCAGTAAAAATCGTCAAACAAATAAGTCGTCTACATTCAAACAGCACTTAGCATTATTAAAAGCTTTGATTAAGAATATTCCACTCAACGGTAAAATACCATTATATTGTGTATTATATATAATATTATGTTGCCATGAATTCGTAGGTATATTTGTTGTTTAAAATGCAGTTGTCGGCGTTTTTTAGAGAACTCAAATATAAAAATGATTGATTTTGTTGATTATGTTAGTGCAAAAATTATTTTTTACTAATTTCTTTAAAATGTCCACTTAAATATAAATTATATTAGGTAAAGTTATCATTAGTAAATTCTACACCAACATATGTACTTACCGAATTGGATCCTTTGGCAAAACATAAAAATGCCAACGATTTAGTTCTTGAATTTTATTTACAATTAAAAACGCAATAATTCACCATGATCCATTTGATAAAATACACACACTAACTTAACTAGGTATATAAGAATTTAAGCGTTGAGTTAATCAATGATAAAAGGAATAATGATCGAAATCGAGTACTAAAAAAGTTTTTTAATTTTTTCCTTGCAACGTAAATCACAAATATCGTGCAATTGAACAAAATTTGCCGAGTAAGACTTCTGCCTTCCTCTCTTTAGTAAAAAAACTACCTATTTATTTAGACCAATTTCCAGACTATCTCAAATTCCTAAGCTATTTGAAAAAATAATAACAACAAAATTAACACCGTTGTTTAAGAATGTCCTTATTGAGCAGCAACATGGATTTTGCAGGGGTAAATCTACAGTTAGTAACTTAGTACTGTATGAGCATGATTTGTTAAGTGCTTTTGAGAGAAGGTGTCAAGTAGATGCCATCTACACCGATTTCTCTAAAGCATTCGATAGAGTTGACCATGGAATATTGCTAAAAAAGTTATTTTCCATGGGGATTTTTGGAAAAATGCATAAATGGTTAACAAGTTTTTTAAATGGTAGAACCCAAACTGTTTTAATTAATAATCGGTTTCGGTCAGTTAAAATAGCTGTATCATCAGGTGTACCACAAGGTGGTCATCTGTCTCCACTTCTTTTTAACTGTTTTATAAACGATATTTGTAATAGGATAAAATTTTGTAAGGTATTATTGTTTGCAGATGACCTTAAATTGTATAGTGTAGTGTCCAGTTTAGATGACTGTAAAAAAATTCAAGTGGATATTAAGAATTTAGAATCTTGGTGCAGTGATAATTGTATGTCTTTAAATATTAGCAAATGCAAAGTAATAAATTTTTTTAGGATAAAAAATAAAATAAATTTTTCTTATAGTATTAATGATGTTATTTTAGAAAATGTAAATGTAATTAAGGATCTGGGTGTTTATTTTGATTCTAAGGTTACATTTAACGAACATATAAATATTATAAGTAATAGAGCTTTAAAAATGTTAGGTTTTGTTAAACGGAACTTAAAAGATTTTAATGATGTGATGTGTATAAAAAATGTGTATTTTTCATTTGTTCGAAGTATTTTGGAATATGGTTGTGTAGTATGGTCTCCTCACTACTTAACTTATTGTATGCAAATCGAAAGAGTACAAAATAAATTTTTAAGATTTTGTGCATTTAAATTAAATTTAATTATTGATGACTATGATTATGTACAATTGAGACACTTGATTAATGTTGATACCCTAAGCAAAAGAAGGGATAAATTTGATATGCATTTCCTATTTAAACTTTTAAATGGGATTATGGATAGCCCTGAATTGCTTGGCAGAATTAATTTTCAAGTGCCTCAGTTAAGACTAAGAAATAAAAATCTTTTTTATATATGTCACCAAAATACAAACTATGGTTATTATGCACCATTACATAGGATGTGCAGAAATGCAAATACTTTAAATGTAGATTTCTTTGGCAATACTCTCCAGTCCTTCAAAAGGTCTTTAATGTAAAATTGTAATGATTATTTTTGTTTATATCTAATGGTTAATCCGTCAATAAAGATATTTATTTATTTATTATTTAAAAATGGTGATATCTGTGCTTTTAATGTATTGTTGAATTCACGCAATGCATTCCACTAGATGGCGCGCGCGTTGCAAACACCCGATACTTCTTTAGCGTATAGACTAACGTTTAAAACCTACTTACAAACCGACTTATTTTAGATTATCCCGATTTAATTGATATAAGTTTAATAGTTGAGTGCGGGACATATACGGAAGAGTTCATTCACGGCGATTTGGGAAGAACCAAGCCAAATATAAGAGATATAATAGGTTGTGAAATTAGTATTTTGTCCAAAGATTTGTTAAGTATTGCCCCCGATTTCCCGCCCTTGGTTAGTAATGACAAAGATGAAATGAGCGATGATGAGTTTTTTGAAGAGGTGGATTTTGATATTCATTCCTTTGGTTATAGTGTAAAAGATGATACTGGAGATCTAAACGTTTATACTGGAGAAGTAAAAGATGAAAAGGATTTTGTAGAATAGGTATTATTATATTTATAAATGTTGGATATTTAATAAAAAACTTTTGTAAACATTGAGATATATATTTATAATGAAGTATATTACTATACAATAAACTTTTGTTAATAGCAACAATATGTAATATAAATAATGAAACATTGCTTATTAAAAAATGAAGATACATTTTAGGTATTTACAGATAGACACAAAAAAATTTCGTTAATTTTTGCCTTTTTTTACACATTTACTAAATCTAAAGGAAGTAATTTAATTGTAATGAATCTACTTTTTACACCTTTTTTCTACAATTTTAATTTCTAATTTAGACATAAGACTTTTTAAGAAAGGCTGTTATTATTTTTCGGATTAAAAAAATCCCTTATTAAGTTTTATCACTATTAAAATATTAATTGCATTTAAAAAAGCACTTTTTGTTAAAATTCTATAACTTTACAAAAATAAACGAATTTTGATGATATTTTCAAGGTAGATACATCAATTAATGTGTGTTCTTTAAAATGAAATTAAAAAAGTTGTATTTTTGCCAGTACAGCCTAAAAATTGTACTATAAACAAGATATTTTGACATTTTTTACTTTGACGCATTTACAAAAACCAATTAAATTTTAAGGTGTTTATAAGATAAGTTTTTTATAATTATAAAAGTCACTTCTTTTTTAAAACTTGTTAACTTTTAGGAGAGTTTAAACTTTTTGGTAATATTTTCAGGGTATACTAACAAAAAAACGCTCTATCGAACACGTTTAACAGCATTATCGTGAAATCAGCCAAATTTAAACTACAGGGTGTTTTTTGGCGCTAGTATTACATAAACATATTTCCTATGGAATGCCCTATATTTTTTTCGTTTAGAGTTGCAACAAATAAATTAATTATTATTACCGATTGTCGTCATACTCTATCTACACAGGGACGGATTTCTTAATTTCTAAAACCCCTGACTCGAGAAAAAGGCAAAAATTAATATTGCTTTTTTGAATTTCATAACAATTCCATACATAGTTATTAAAAATTAAAATATAGTAAAAACATGGAAAAACTTACTTGAGTAAACATCAACTTTATTTAGTTGGCAACAATTGTTTTATAAATCGAAAACGTTAAGTAATTTAGCTGCTAAATTTTAGCATGACTTGGCCAAATGCACAAACATTATAATGTTATATCATATTGCAAATCGGAATTTACAATTAAATAAAAACAGGTAAGTTTAAACTTTTAGTTTCTAGTTTTTTGTGGTATATAGACTAGTTATTTACCTTAATGAGAGCGCGTAATTTGAATCTGGGTTGCCTACCTACATTCGAACAAACGCTTTACCGGTAGGCAAGGAATTCGAAGATGTAGTAAAGGAAAATAAAATTATAAGAGGAATGTACCTTTACCGATAATCTTTAACAAAACTAGCGTTTGTACATGGGGCCATATTTATTCTTCTAATTATTTCTGAAAAAATGTACAAATACATGCTTAATACGTTGTATTCAGTCGTTAAATCTCATTTGAAAAAATCGTATTGTGCTTATAAATTAGAAGTTAGTAATTAAAAATTCTGAAAAACTTATTTACCTATAAATTAAGTAAGAAGTATGTGGTATCGATTCTTGGATGTTTAGTTTAGTAAGAGTGGGTACACACAATAAGGCAATACAAAATATGTACCAAGAAGTATGGTTAAAACGAAATATGAAAAATTTTGAAAATATTGTTTTTTTGACACAACTTGTGTGTCTTTAATGATAAAATGTTGAAATTTGGTTTGTAGTTTGTAATACTGTGATAAAATTGTATCATATATATTTTGTCGTTTTAAAGATTTAAAAAATAATACAACCAAATTGTCCATAAATCATTTTAGCTGAACTAGTAGGTATAAAGAGCAATACTGATTCATTAAGACTCATAATTCTTACAGAGTATGATAGATTTTACCCGTTTTGTCGTATTTATTATTTATTTTTTCTAAAAATTATGAATTATTAGTTTCTTATTACCTATTTGGGGGACTTATGCGGTCACAGGGTCACATCCCGATTACGAAATAATCGATCTATTTTATTACATTTATAAATGTTAAAGACTTCCATACTCATAAGAAAATCATAAATAGATTTCCGTAAGTAACTTTTGTTGGCTATTAGGTTTCGTCTTTTTTACAGTGGTCCCCCTGAAAAAAAAATTGTTTTAAAATTTTTTTATTTGTATACCCCAAAAATTACACTCTAAAAACATTTTTACTTTTTCTTTGAAGCACCATAACTTTTTGAAAAGTTTTTTAAAGATATTTTTAGGGTATAATTAGTCAAATTTAAAATATAGGGTTTTTGCTTTAGAGGAAATACGACTCTTTTTTTCAAAACTTAATTTTTTCATGAAACTTTTAAGTGTATGCAAATAAAAATGTGTTTGTTAAAATGCATCATATGAAAAGTGCACTTTTCATCAAAATATCATGGTATTTTTGATGGTATACTATGAGACGGTGGTTTTAAAATAAATAATTAATTATATGCATTATTTATCAAATTATTTCTTTATCAAATTATTTTTTTATAAAATTATTTTTTATCAACTTATTTTTTTATCAAATTATTTTTTTACAACTTATTTTTTTATGAAATTATTTTTTTTTAATTATTTTTTCATCAAATTAATTTTTATGAAATTATTTTTATAAAAAAATAATTTCATAAAAAAATAATTTGATAAAGAAATATTTCGATAAAAAAATAATTTGATAATAAAGTTGATAAAAAAATTATTTCATAAAATAATAAGTTGATAAAAAATTAATTTGATAAAAAATAACTTGTTAAATAATGCATATACCTAATTAATTATTTATAAAGCAAAATAAGTTTATTTTTCAATTTTTATTTTGACACAAACGGCGCCTCATAGTATACCTACTCTAAAATTTTTATTTTAAAACCACAAAAATTTTAGATGATTAAAATTTTAATGTATTTTTAGGGTTTACTAACAAAAATACACAAATACCGCGTCATTTTGTCGATAGACCCTGAAAATCCTACATTAGAAATACTTATATTTATATTAACATTTTCTTTAAACCTTAGTAACTCCAATAAACGTTACTAAATCCTAACAAATTTTCTAGGGTATACCAACAAAAACACAAGGCAAAATGTCATTTTTGTAACATTAACCGAATTCTAGTTATATATAAATCAATATATTTTGTTAGTTACCTCATGTCTTTTATTGATATTAAAACTTGTTTTACTCCCACTAGGCGAGCTTTTTCTATCCTGGATAGTCTTTTTGGAGTTTGCACTCGACGATGATTCACTAAAACACCACATTTTACATTGCGAAATCAAAAAAAAAATCGGTGCAAAACTTTACCTAATATTGCTAAATCTTTCTGTGGATGCCATTGGTTCAATGGTTGCTTCTTCGTCCAATAGAGGCATCAATTCTTCTTCTTCGTCGACGTCCATCGGCTGTGGTAGAGGTTCTTTGGGTTTGGCTTTAGGTTTTGCCGTTATGTGATCGTGGCATTCGCACACGCACTCATCGGGGTTTACGTAGTTGTACACAACCCCATCCTGCGACACCTTTTTGTGAAGCTTGTCTTTATCTCTCCCTGGGATGGTTTGGATGCGTTTTGGATGTCGCCTTTTTTCCGGTATCTGCTCAAAATCGATCCATTCTTTTTGCATCCCCTTTGGAGGCAAAGGGGGAGGCTCCTCGGCCGCTGTGGGGGTGGTACGAGTTATTTTACCTATTTCGGCAAACTCTTGCCAGTTGATTCTGGGGGATTTCTTCGACATTTTATCGAAGGAGTCCGTTTTCGGTAGGGATATTTTAATTTTCTCTATGGTTTTGGCCACCGATTCCACATAACCAAAAACTTCCTCGCAATACTCCTCCAAACACGACGGATTTAAAGGTGTGGTGCTACGCGGTCTCTCTATAGTGCACGTTTTAATGTCGAAAGAAGACCTCTGCGATATTGGGACGATAGGAACGACACTTGAACGCTCTTGCGGCAACGTTGTGGGTACATAAGGCAGCTCTTCTTCGAAGGAATCCTGCACGAGACCCTTTATTTCTTGCTCTGAGAGTTTAAGCTTCAACACTTGCGATTTGCGGTTGTTTCGCAAGCTGTCGGCTTCAGAATCTTTTTCCGAATCGGAGGAATTTACGTCCAGAAGGCTGAGTGAGCTCAGGGAAGCTTCAACTGTGACTAGGTTGGATAAAGAGGTGTCTTTCGGTAGGCACGTGTTTTCTATGGGTTCTATGATGCTTTCTACAGGTTCTATAGAAGTTTGTGGAGATTGTTCTATGGTTTTTGGGAATGGTTCCCGACTTAATTCTTCTTGTTTATTGCCGTTATCGTCAATATCTACAGGACTTGAAGCTTCGTGGACTATGATATCCACAGTATGGTTGGTCTCCTCAACTCTTTTCGGTAGTTTTGTGGTGAAAACTTCGTTATTGCCTAGTTGGGTTGTGAATACAAAATTTTCAGAGCTCGTCGAACTTTCCTTGCTGAATATCTTCTCGACTTGCTGAACATCTTCGTCTTCTTTGGTTTCGATGGAGATTTCGTCCTTGGGGTTGTTTTCAATGACGGTGTCTTGCGACTCCTGGCTCCAGTCGTGAGCTATAGTGCGTTCGGTGTAGTATGTAGGGGAGTGCAAAGGTATATGAATGATACGACCTACCAGAGGTGTGGCGGGGAATTTTTTGTGATCGCGATCGGAGGTTAGAGTGTCGTTGAACTTGAATTCTACCTTTCCGATGCCTTCTTCCACCTTAACGTCCGGTTCCGTGCGCTTAGGGGATGGCGGTTCGATCGATTTTCCGAACTTGAACAGCGAGAGCAGGGATTTCTGCTTGGTCTTGCTGTCTATAGATTCTGAAGACGAAGGAGCAGCTGAAAGCGTTTGCGACGCGTCCTTACTGTTACTGCGCGGCCTGTGTTTGAGGTGTTTGCTTACCTGGTCGGTCGCTTCTTTGACAAAACCCGACAACGCGCTTAACCGCCTCCCACCAGGCGACTCTGGCGTCGACTCGCGGCTCCTGAAAATTGAGGCGAATGAGCTCCTCCGCGAGGCGGTCGGCGACGGGGTGACGCTTACTACATTACTGCGCGAATTTTTTGGACTTACGCTCGGCGAACTTTGCACGTGAGTCGATCCGCTGTCCCCCGTCGACTCGGCTTCGTATTGCACGCTCTGCAAGTCCAACGAATCCGGCTTGTGGATCTCCACGGGCCTGGGCGACTCGGGCTCGTCCTCGTACATATGGTCGGGCTTTAAGCGTATTCTGATGATTTGCGGCTCGTTGGATTTTCTGGTGCTCGTTTCCAAAGCCGAAGCACTCCTCTTCGTCGGCACTTTCGCGTCCCCTTTGCCCTTTTTCCGTTTGTTCGGACTCGCCAGCTGATTTTTCCGTCTCTCCACTGGACTAGCCGACTTGCACTCCCTCAGGGTTCTTTTGTTGAACTTTGGGACCGTTATTTGACTGCCTGGAACGTCCTCCGGCAGTTTGCCTTTCAGCGGTATGTAAAAATACTCCACGCCGTTTGCGGAGACGTTCCTCGACATGGCAGGCGAACTCTTACTCAAACCGTTCTTCTGCGCGTGATCGATGGTTATTTTGATATCAACCGGAGCCTGCATTTCTTTCCGGGCAGGTTTCTGAGGAACTTTCTTCGGGGTTGCGATACCTTCAGCTAAAATCGCCTTGGTCGGATCGTGTTTACGCGACAACAGCGCTTTCTCCAAATCAGGATCAATTTTAATGTTGGACAGATCCGTGGGTGGTTTGGCCTTATCCGGTGTTTTATTGCCGCAAAAAGAAGTCTCTAGCACCATTTTGTACGGGGATGAACACCTGGATGAATACGAATACGCGCTCAAATTCGAAATACGACTATTCGCCGACCCTTGACTTCCTATACTCGATACTCTGGAACTTCTACCCACAACCTCCAGCAACTCGGAGCTCTGCGAGTCCTTCCTGTGGAACTCGTCGTGTATCGAGGGCGATCTAGAGTGCGTCGACTTTCTATGCTTCCCGTGATACGGCAGCTCTTCGGTAGAAGACCTTAAATCCAGGGCGCCGTCCTCCCTGAACCCCAAACCCAATTTGGCACTGTGAGGATCGTGTTCGTAGCCTTCCTTGTCCGGAGTGCTGTCTCGGCTGCCGTGATGCGACGAGCTGGACGCTCTAGATATGTCTATGCGCGGCGCTCTCGGCGACTTTAGATGCTGCGGCGACGTGGAATGCATCTGAGAGCCCACCAGGCTTATTCCCGGGTACGTGAAGGTCGGCAAGGGGCTGCAGGTGCTTCTAGGGGAGTGCGGGGTCAGATCTTCCCGAATACCAGGTAGTCTGACCACGGAACCTGCCAAGTTTTGCTCCTCTGGTGTCGACTCGATCTGCAATTCAACGATTTAGTGATTTGTTGCTTCCTATGTTGGTTTAAATGGTATTACTTTAGACTTGTCATCAGATAGGTCTTCAAAGGAGGCTATCGGGGCAGGTCCCATGCGTTTTTGGCGTTTTTTTATGGCCCCAGTAGACTTTTCCGATGACGCCATGCTGTTATGCTAAGAACATACAGGACGGTTCAAGATGGTCATATTAGGTAGGTACTTGACAAAATCAACGGGAATAATAACAAATTTTCAGCGGTCCATATTATGATCATATGCTCATGAGCATGCAATGAAAAAGTAAAAATGTCAGTAGCGTAGGTACATATTTTTCACAATCACCGTATCTCCAAAACGAAGCAAGATCTTTGACTTGTTCTATCTAATAGAACAAATTTTATTACCTTCTAAGACATTTAAGATTTAGATAGTGCTCTACAAATGTTTGTAGTGATACTGACCATCGCAATGTCTGAAAAAATCAATAGATTTAAATTCGTATGATAGTCTTTTGATGGGTATTATTTAATCAATACAGAGTTGTTCAGTGAAATAAATGTTTAGATGGGTACGTAAATATTAAATTTGGATTATTGTGTGTCCTAATTTTTGTTTAAGGTTATGGATATACCGATTATTCACCCCTATGTAATTATACTTAATAATAAATTTGCTTCTATAGTGTTTGTTTTATTGACGAAAAATGATTAGGTAACTATTGATAATGAGGGTAATAATGTAGAATAAAAAGTGCGAAATTAATTAAATTTTAAACGAGAACTGCCCTAAATACAAAAAGAAGTCATCATCAACGCTTGAACTTCACTACAAACAAAAAATACACAAAAGCAACACCACAGGGGCAAATAAATAGCATTTTTGACTCTACTCCTAAAACGTGCTACTTACAAATCACACTACAACTATACGGCACTCATGCTACTAGTAAGAGCTTTTCAGGAGTCGATGTTTTCCTTTTTGCCGTCGTTTCGCGCTTTTCCCGCGCGGCGGCGCTGCTGGCAGGCGCAGCGCGCGTGATAACGATGGCCCCAATCAATATTTGTTTCTATTGGTCACTGACACACAGCTACACGCTTGATTTCGAGAGATGTCGATCGCAGATACCTGAGGGGTGATTTGATTATACATTATTGAAGTTTATTTTTTGGGCGTAAAATGATATAAACGTAAAATGACATATTTATGATAAAAAAAATATATAATATTGTAATTCGTTTATAAATCATTCTGTGTATTTTTTTTCATTGATTTTTTTTAAATCTGTTGATTGTTTTGGATTAAGCGTACATTTTTAAACAAACACTTAAAATTTCATCAATTTATATTGATTTGTGTAAAAATTAGGTACAGTTATAAGAAAACTCCCTGTATATTTTCTAGTTTTGGGTTTATTAAAAATCTGGTAATTGTAGTAAAAAGATTAAGTATATATACCCTAAGAATGTTATAATTTTCGGTTTATTTTTGCAAAAAAACTATCCTCCGTGACTGTTACTCTTTTTAGGTTAACCTATATGTTTTCAAATATCTGAGGTAGTAAAAGCATACTAAAAATATCAGTTCACTAAGTAAATTAAACACATCCAAAGCAATCGAATCAAATATAAAATAAGTAGGTATTATTAAAAATTAAAAGAAATAATTTTTATAACCATTTATGTAGGTGTTTGATTGATTTATTCTATCCTCCGTGAATCTGTTTTTGCTTTAAATTGTATGCAACGGATGGCGCTTTGATCATTTTAAATAAGCAAGAACCTCTGTTTACATTATAGATGCATATGCATACATATGTAATTCCTGAAGGTCAGTTGGAATTTATATGCAGATGAGAGTGTTGCTGTTTTATAATTTAATAATAAAGTTTAAGTTCATTAATTTGCTATTTAAAAACCTATCCTCCGTGAAGTGTAATATCTCAGTAAGTAGATTTTTTTTTATAAATATTTTATGTATGTACAATTGTATTTTTTTTAAATATTAAGGTGTTAAAAGATACAATAACTTGTTTCAAATATACAAAGGGATGTTTAAAAAAAACATACGAAATCCTAACCTCCGTGAAGCTATCTTCCGTGAAGCTCTAATATTCAAAATGTATGATTTCTTAAAACTGTTGTGCAGAACCACTTATGTTATGTTATTACTAGGCCTGGTGGCTTCCCAAAACCCCATTCTAGACTAACAGTGAAACAATCAAAAATAAAAAATAATCATTTTCACTTGGGGGGCATCTCAATATATTCACCCAGGTACTCTATTTCTGACGCAATTGCGTCTTAAGTTTAATTACTTTTGTCTGCAACCGTACCCACATAACAATAAAAAGCATATTCATATCCATAGCATATACCCAGAATGTACCTGAACTTATATTCATATTCTTATATTCTTAGCATGTTCCACGAATATATAAACATGTACCACCTATATTCTAAAACGTATATTCCCGTGCATTTATTCATAGCATATGCTAAGGATATTTCGCTATATGCTTATAAAAACTTTACAGGATATATCCTATATATACTTTTGACTAAGTTGTAGCATGTACGTAGTATATGCTTGTGACATGCAACATAACAACAGCGCCACCTGTTGCTCGATCTGTGACAGATCGAGCAACAGGTGGCGCTGTTGTTATGTTGGTTGTCAACTCGGCCGCACGCCATTTTAATGGTTTGTCTTTTGTCCGAGGATTTGTTTATCGTAAAAAAGTTTCAAAACAAACGGTTAAAGGTTAAAGTGTTGTGCAGTTAAAATAGTGCGTAAACGGTGGCCACGGGGGCATTGTATTCTGTGGGCATTGCATTGCACTCCTCTGATAAGGGGGTTATATTTTGTGGTGTAGGTCGTAAGTGGTGTAAGCTCTAAAAGAAAACACTAAATATTAGACACAGAGGTATAGTTCCTAAGTTTTGTATTTGATGTGCGAGTTTATTGAAATCTGGAAAGGAAGACTGAAAATCTTGACTTTTTAAGGTTAGTTGTGTGCTAAGAATGTAGTATACTACATTCTAGTATACTATAGTATTGATATATACTTTAGTGTGTAAGTAGGTAGTTATTATAGTTAGTTGTGGTTAAGCTGAGTTGGAGGACATACAATGTTCACAAAAAACCACCCAAAAAGTAAACGCTCGCTTAGACGTATGGTGACTAAAAAAACTCGTGAAGCAGAACTTTTGCTTACTTTAAATGACACTCTTAAGGTTTCTACTTCTATTTCTCCATCTCCAACTTCGAAAACCCCCGATCTCCAAATGTCAAACAAAAATTTTAATTTTTAAGAAAGTTATTTAATAAAATTGAAATTAAAAATTTAAATTTGACACCCTGTACCTCGCTTACTATTTACTTTAGGATAAGACAAGATGGCGCCGATCACAATATTTTTGCGTAAGGAATAGGTACGCTGTTACCTCATTCTTTTTGGGACACCCTGTATAATAATACTTCCTATATATATATATTTTTTTTTTAGATTGGCTGACAAACAGGATGAGGAAGAACATAATACCTAATACATATTATAACCTTTTTTTTAATAAATGTTATTAAGCATATAGGTAGCTGTTTTTTACCTTACCAAGTATGTTCACAGAATATGCTATGTATATATAGCCAAGTATTCCCAGTATATTCTTAGAACATTCCCAATTGTAGTGCATAGCACATGCTACTTGTGGCCAAAAGGATATGCTAAGCATTTCCCTAGTATATAAAAGCATTATTCCTAGCATATGCTCAGAACATATTCCTAATATCCTTATACGTAAGAAGTTGATTCTGAGCACATGCTAGGTATATTATTTTGCTATGTGGGTAGTACCTACATTAATTTAAAATTACGAAAAATGTAATGCGCGTTAGTAAACAACCTGTATCTTTTCTAGCATTGGGTTCATTAAAAAATTGTTAATTGTTGTAAAAAGAGCGTACATTTGTTTGCTACCCTAGAAATTTTGTAGGTTTTAAAAAATATTTGAAACGTTATAATTATAGGAATATGTAAAATAATACATTTTGGGTTATAGCGCAAATCTTGAAAACCTTCATTTTCATAATTTTTAAATATTAAATTAAAATATACTTATATATAACTACTTACTACAATTTTATTACAACATTATACCTACATGATTACAATATTAATCGTTAGACTTTGAAATATTATATACACGTATATAATAATTAGAATGAAAAAAATCTTATATGTGTGTCAGATCTAATTAAAGCCTCTAAAACAATGAAAAAAGAAGAATTCACACTACCTATGCCATGGGGGCAAGTAGCAGGTAACCCGTTTAATACAATACAATATAATTTATTATATTTTATACAGTAAAATCACAAAAACACGAACATAACCTCAAAATGTTTCAGGGGTGGCTTGGGGGGAGCCCAGTGACCCGATCGTGTTATGTTTTCATGGACTACTGGATAACGCTGGGTCCTTTACAAGGTTAATACAATTTTTACCGAACTGTTTTTATTATGTTTGTGTCGATTTGCCTGGGCATGGACGTTCTGATCATTTCCCCCCCAATTTACCTTTGTACAATTTAGATAATTTAATGGTTTATATATTGGTAGCGAAGCATTTTAATAGGGACAAGTATGTTATAATGGGGCACTCATATGGGGCTCAGTTGGGGTATTTTTACTCACAAATGTATCCAAATAAGGTTGAAAAATTAATAATGTTGGATGCTATAACAATGTGGCCGATACAAAGTGGCATATCTTCTAAATATGTTAAACACATATACGAAACGTTTCTAAAAGTGGACGAAAAACTAAAAACCAACAAACCACCTGTGTATACCTACGAAGAAGCTCTAGAAAAAGTGGCCACTAAACGGTTATACAGCGAGCTTTCACTTGAAGCAGCCAAAGTAATCTTAGAGCGTAACATCAAAAAAATCGACGACAACAAATACATTTTTACTGTAGATCAACGACTAAAAGACTACATGGCACCTTTAAACGACACTCGTTACAAAGCTGATTCAATAATTAAAAACCCTGTAAAGTGTCCTGTTTTAATGATTTTAGCAACAGAGTCCAGTATGCAACAAGTGGCCCTTAAACAAGTTTTAACTGTTTTAAAAAAACGCAAAAATTGTAAAATTATTACGGTAAAAGGAGATCACCCACTGAACATTATGGATGTGGTGATGTCACAGTGACGTTTAAAAATTGTCAATTTTAAGGCACATTAACTACGTTTTTTAGTGATGTTCAATTTACGTAAAAATTACGCTTAAAAAATAAAAGGTGCTGTCGAGCACGTCACTATACCGTCTATTCTATGCCTTTTATTTTACTTTAGCGTATTAGGTGCAAAACAGAACGTACATTTTACGTCACCAATGTGACACATGATAAATATGAATGGGGTAGGTTTGCCAATGATGAACAAATATATGCCACATTTACATTTTTGTTGGAAATTTGAGTGTATAGGTACTTAGATAATTAAATACCGAATATAATTCATAATTTTAGATTAAACCGAAGGTACTTACTTAGAAACCAATGTAAGTAGGTACGACTAGGTATTATATTAATGACTTATTATAAATCCCAGAGTGATTTATTAATTAATATTACTGAATAATAATTATTCTATTATTATCCCATCGTGAGATTAAGAAACGTATATTTTATGTAAAATTTACGTAAAAAAGGACTCGGGTAATTTCGTTTCCAGTCGATATATCGGTATAAAAGGGGCCCTGTAACAGGGCATACTCTGTTTTCGTTGCGACTGCCATTGTTCAGTGTTCAACACAGTGTGTTGCCATTTGTTGCTGTGTGATAGAAAACTCATTGTTCTCCATAGGCGAGACTGAACGGTTTAGGTAAGTTGGCTTTATCATTTGTTTGCAACCATACGGTTATAATATAATTAATTAATTGTCCCAAAATCGCCATGATGGCGCTATTAGTGGTTATCGAATTTTGTTGATTTAAATGTTAGCGTTGAGTGAGAATTAATATTAATCAATGCTGTTAGACTTAAAGAAAAGTGTTTTAATCAATTTGATTTTTCAGTTAATACACCAGTGAACATGGGAGACAAATTTTGCGCCGAGCGACAGGCAAGATATACCTATAAGTTTTATTTACCTATTACTTAGATAACTTAAGTTATTAATGTTTGTTTTAGAAGCCAGTATGAAATTATTTCGTCTGACTGAAAGTGATTTCGATAAAGAGAGCAAGGAGTTGTTCCAAGCAACGCTCATAACGTTTTTTGGCCAAATTTGGACATGAGAATGAGGCCGAAAATTAATTAGGTGGTAATCATATAATGTTTTATTTTTATTATTTTATTTATTATTTTTATAATTTATTTTAATAAAAAAAATATATTTCCAAAGTGTGTAGTTTTATTTAAAAAAACGTAACTAATGCGTACAAGTTGAAACAAAACCTATACGTCCATATTAAAATGACATTTTTACGTCCTTTTGAAAACGTAATTTTTACGTCTGCTTATCCACGTAACGGTTAGGGCTAATTCACGGCCCAGGATCCGGACATAGGCACATCACAGCGACGTTTATGTGACGTTTATTTTACAAGATTCTTATACGTCACACTACAACCTTTGACGTTAATTTTACATAAATTTTACGTTTTTTTGCTCAGTGGGCATGATGTGCACCAGAACTGTCCTGATGTTGTTGGGGAGATTGTAGCAAAATTTATGATTCATATACGAAAGAAATTGTAGGATTTTCTAAAAATTCGATAATTGTGCAAAGAGCGTACTTTTGTTAGTACATAGTTAAAAATTTTAATGAATTTTGACGATTTTTTAAAGGTATAAAAAAACAATTGTCAAACCTAATTTTTTTTTTGTAATTTTCGAGATATATTAACAAAATACGCTTTTTACATCATTTCAAACTAAATGATATATAAATATATAGATAATTCTTAATAATATTGTTTAAAAGTAGATCCACATGTAATCTGGGTTGCCTATTTTAAAAGAAAGTTTTTATATTTAATAGCAAATTTCAGTATTTATATTTATTTTTTTAATGGATATGGTGTAAAAAATAAAATATCTTGTTATATTATACAAATTTTATTATAAAACTAAACATATTATTGTTCCCCTTCTTTTTTATCTTCAAACTTTGCTTGTATTAACCTAAATAGCACCCTTGAAGCATAATTTAAAGGCGTTTGCCGTTCTTTATTGGTTATATTTACATCAGCGCCATTTTCAATTAATAATAAGGCTTCTTCTTGCCTATCTTCTTCACAAGCCAAGTGTAAAGGTGAGTTCCCATAAATATCTCTAGCATTTATTTGGAGTTTATCTTTAAACTCCATAAATAAAGATATAATTGCTATATTTCCCTTGGAGGCTGCTCTATGTAGTGGTGTGGACCCCCTTAAGTCTGTCACGTTTATATCTGCATCATTTTCAAGTAGAATTTTACAAATCTAAAACAAACACTTCTAAAACATATACCTTGCAATAACTTTTCAATATACATTTGTCCACCCCTTTGAGGCTGCATATTGCAAAGCAGAGTGTCCTGTGTTGGTTTTATGATTAACTTTGGCCCCTTTTTTAATCAACAACTCCACTATTTCCTCATGTCCCGCTGAACTGGCTAGAATCAATGGAGTTGCTTCAGTATCATCAAATTCATCAATTTGGGACCCCAATTCAACTAAATACGTAACTAACTTGAAGTTGCCACCCACAGAGGCCCAGTGAAGCAATATACGTTGGCTCTAAAATAAAATAATAGTTTTTACAGATAAATTAATTTTTTAATACCTCGTCTTTTTTAGCGATTAATAAGGGGTCTTCTTCAACTTTGGTCCTTACAAAGTCGAAATCGCCCTTGTACGCGTATTCGTAGACAGTTTTGTTTGCCATTTTAGTAAAATACTTGATATTTTGCAATGACAACACAAAAATTTTGAATTGTGACAGTTAGGTTAGGACATTTGAACTACCAAACCATAGAGAAACCAAACAAATAAAGGGATATAATTTACATCATATAAAGTAACAAAACAGTTAAATTATTAGAATATTGCTTGTTTTATGAATGTTTTCGTGCTGTGGTTTAGGCAAATTATTTTCAAAAATTGCTTTAAAATAACAAAAACAAGCTGTGTAGGTAACACAGATTGACACTTTTTATTATAGTGGTTGCTTTACTCAATGGTGGTTGCCTATGTTCAAAAATGGTGGTTGCCTATGTTCAAAAAATTAGTTCATTTGATTCGCGGCTATGTTCATGGCGGGGGAAGTTTGTGATGTCAGATTTACGTCATTTTCATGCTTTACGCACTCTGATATGTGAGATTGCATTTGCAAATAAAAATCAACACATGTTGGTGATTTAAACGTGGGTGTGTGAATTTCCGTTGATTGTGTTTGAATTGAGTGAATTATGTCAGCTAAGGAGGTTTTGGAGGAGAAAATCAAACAGCAGGGTGAATTGGTTAGAAAATTAAAAGGTGCCAAAGAAAGCAAAGAAAAGGTGAGAATAAAGTAATGTTGCATCATTTTTGACCGCGTGGTGCATTTTTGTATTTCTGTCTCTAGGTTATTTCCTTTGAATGGTTTGCAAACATTACTGAATCTCACTGTGATGTTTTGAATGAATATTTGGCAAATAAAAGTTATATTAATGCCTATACAATCTCACATAATGATTTTGAAATATTAGAAAAAAATACACCCTTATTATGGTGCAGAAAAATATCCCCACATAAATCGATGGTTCAACCATATAAAATCATTTGAACTGTCCGAAATAGACTGCAAAATATAGATCAGAAATTTACTAAACAACTAACAGACGTTTTCTTAAATCTTCAGGTAATTTGTTAGATGTGGACTTTTAAGTTTGACAATGTTAAGTTTTCGTTCGATTTTCTCCCATTCACGGCCTGTGGATATGAAAAAATTACTGTGCAGTACTTCTGCATTATTTGATAATGGAAAACCACAGGTCAGTGAATTTAGTTTTTTTTTTTATTTTTCTTATGGTTTTATTACCTATTATTACCATTGCTTGCAAAATTGCTAATAGAAAGTTTTATTGGTAATTGGATACCTAATTGGTGTAAAAAAAATTAATTGTGTTTGAAGATTTGTACATTTTTGTGGAAGTAATAAGGCTTTACATAAAATTTACTTGGTAATACTTTAATATAATATGTTGAGATAATTTCACAATTTTTGCATAAAAATGATAAAATTTTCCTAGGAATGCAATAATTACTTTGATATTATAGATAATTAACATATTGTATAAGCAATTTTTTTTTAAATTATACATCAAAACTGAACACTGTTATATAAATGTGTTAACTGATTTTAAAAAATTGGTCTTAAGTAATTTTAATTATTTACCACTTATATTACTTTCTCCCAAGTACATACAATCTAATCAGTCTATACAGTCTTTCACAAGCTCTAGTTAAATTAGTTATGGTTCACAGAAACCTTCAAAAGTACAGAGTGAGTAAAAAAATTGCCTATTTGCTAGTATACTATAATAGCACATAGTTTTTTTAATAAAGTTAAAAAAGTCCTAGAAATTTTGACTTCATAATTTTCTCTTTATCCAGATTGCAGAAGAGGTTGCCAAACTTCTGCAGCTTAAAGCGCAGCTGAACGATGGCAGCGAAGCTAGCGGTCCCCCCCAAAAATTCACCCTCAAAAACCCCAAGGGGACGAGGGATTTTTCTCCAAAGGAAATGGCTGTCAGAAACAGCGTTTTGGAGAAAATAATCGAGGTTTTTAGGAAACATGGCGCTCAGAGCATTGACACTCCAGTTTTTGAATTAAAAGTAAGTACAATTTTAGCATTAATTAGTCTACTATATCTGGATTTATTTTGTTTAATTATTTGATTTTGATTTTATTAGGAACTTTCTAATTCTAAGAAATTGTTATAATTATAATTATATTTAATGTTTTAAGAATAAAGGAAACAAAAACTTTAACAATAAAATTATGTAAATATATTTTGTAGAATTTCTCAAATTTAACTTTTTATTCATTTGATGTTATATTTGCATATTTTATTATGCGTAACTATTAAACTTTAGCGACGGCTTTGGTGCGGGTAGTTGTGTGCAAATTGATCGACGGCGAGGTATTTACAAACTTAACTTTATTACACTACATATACACAATATACAATACAATACACATATATACAAACTTAGCGTGTAGCTACCCGGAGCCGATGTATTCAAGACGACGAATTAGGACGTAGTGCTCGATGATAGCTCTCCGATCTGCCTCCTTTGATCGGAGTAGGGAGTAGGTATAAAAATATTTAAAACGAGGCAAAAATCCAAAAAGTAATAAAGTCTATTATATTTTTGATTTAATTTATAAAGGTAAAGGAGAGGTAAAGGTAAGCAAGTAATGCAAATGATGGGAAATTTGCTGTGTTGAAAGAATCGGCTCAGGGTACTAAAATATTTACAACATAATTACGGGTTTAGTCCCCACAAACAGCTGTTATTAGTTGCTCTACATAAAATCAAAGAACATTCAGAAGTTCAATATGATGCAATCTACAGTTATAATATTCTCTTTGATTTAACCTTGAATGGAGGTGTGTCAAACACACCTCCACTGAGTTTATTACGCATTGAACTAAATGCAAACTTGATTTAGATAAACTAGTTTTTAAAATGCTCAAATCATTGACATTTTAGAAGAAAACCATCATTCTCCTTCTAAAATGTCATAGATTCATCCAAACGTCATTTACATTTGGGTTTTAAAATTTCCGGAAAATTTAGCCGGCGGAAAAAAACCGTCTTTTTCCGGAAAAATTGAAAAAATTTAAGAAAAATTAACTTTTTCATTTTTAAAATTTTATTCAAAGGGAAATACGAAAAAATGCAAAAGTAGTTTTTTCCGAAAATTACAAATTTTTACGGATAATATCCTAAAGAGAAAAAAGTGAATTTTTGACGCTGAATATAATTATAATATTATGATTATAATAATATTTATTTTATTTTAATTCAGTAAGAATGTGTATATTTTTCCCAAAATAGTCAATTTTTCCAAGACCTGGGAAAAAACGGAAAAAACCGGTTGTTTCCCAATTTTTCCGTTTTTTTACAAAAAAATCTTTTGTCATAGGAAGTTTTGACAGGCAAATACGGTGAAGACTCCAAACTGATCTACGATTTAAAAGATCAAGGCGGCGAAATTCTATCGCTACGTTACGATTTGACAGTTCCTTTCGCCCGTTACCTGGCCATGAACAAGATTACCAACATAAAACGTTACCACATCGCCAAAGTGTACAGAAGAGACAATCCTTCGATTTCTCGAGGACGATACCGGGAATTCTACCAATGCGTAAGTTGGCAGCACTGACACAGGAAACGTCAAATTTGACAGATATATATGTCAAATTTACCGTTTACCACAATAAAGTTTGATAATTTTAATATTTTTTTATTACTTTTTTTTGCTGGTTTATACTAATTTTTTATTATTGACGTTATTAGCAATTTTTGGGGCTCAGGTTAAAAATTAATTTAAAAATGTAAAACTTTGAAAGTACATTTAGTAGAGTAAAAAACATTGTTTGGAAAAAAAAATTATAAAAAATTATGACTTTTTCTCAATTTTTTAGGATTTGTTTAAATTTTTTTGAAAAATTAATTAAAAAATCTAAAACTTTGGAAGTACATTTAGAAGGGTAAAAAAGTAAGGAAAAACTTAAAAATAAATAAATTATAACCATTTATGACTTTTTCTCACTTTTTTAGTTAAAAGTTATTTTACAAATATGAATTTTTGAGAGTACGTACGTAAGGTACCTTCAGAATAGTAAAAAAGTAAGAAAAAACCTTGTTTGAATTTTTTTTTTAAATTATGAGTTTTTCCCACTTTTTTAGGATTTTTTTCAATTGTTTTAAGGTTAAAGTTTAAAAATTAATTTAAAAATCTTTTTTGGGAGTACCTTCTGGATAATTTTTTTATTATTAACGTTTAGCACATCTTAGGTGAGTTCGGGATTGCGGTTTGGTGTAAGTGTAGTGCGGTGTAGTGTTGGAGTAGGGAGTTAAAAGTGCATTCGCAAGAGAAACCTATGATTCGCAACCCGAACGCTTCGGTGTTTTTATGGTGTGATAGGTTTTTATGGTGCAATAGGTTTTCTTTGAAATTTCTTCCATTATAACAGATTATAGCAAAATTATGTAGGTATCACCGTTGTTATTATCACAGAATTGTTAACAATTGTAACTTTCAATTTGTAAGGTTAAAACCATAGAACAACACCTGTTGTTGTGTTGTTCCATGGGTAAAACTTTTAATTCAAAAATGTAATACCTACCTAAAGCGCATGCCCGCACCAAAGCCCTAGCTCACAAGTCGGGGCGTTTGGTGCAAACACCGTTCACACCACACTAAAATACCCGAACGCAATTACAATCACACTTTTTACATTAATTGCATACCCGAACTGCTAAGTGCGCACGGTGTGAACGGTGTAGCAATCCCGAACTCACCTCTTGTTTTTAAATAATAAACATATTTTGTTTATTTTTGGGCGAGAATCGCATGTGTCCTGGTTTTTCATTTTAGAAAGTTGGTCACCTTGGCATTGCAATATATTTGCAACGTTGCCACATTTATGGCAAGGGTGTGCAGCGTTGCCAAATTTCCGCGTTTGTTTTCAGGATTTCGACATAGCAGGTTCTTACGACGAGATGATTCCCGACGCGGAATGCGTGAAAATCGTGTACGAAATCCTTGATAAACTCAACATGACGCCGTTCGTCATTAAATTAAATCACAGGTTGTTGTTGGACGGTATGTTCGAAGCTTGCGGCGTTCCCAAGGATAGTTTTCGCTGTATATGTTCGGCAGTCGACAAATTAGACAAGGTAAGACCCAATATTTGACAAATCGGCGCCCAACTTGTCGTTTTCAGAGCCCTTGGGAGGAAGTGAAGAAGGAAATGATCGAAGAAAAGCAATTGCCCGAAAGTGTGGCAGATCAAATCGGCGAGTACGTGAGATTGAACGGTAAAACGGAATTGGTCGAAAAATTGCTGCAAGATCCGAAATTGTCGCAAAACAAAAACGCCGTCGCCGGTTTAGAGGCGATGAAGTTGGTTTTGCAGTACTGCCAAATTTACGGCACTTTGGACAGGGTTTCGTTCGACTTGAGTTTGGCCAGAGGTCTTGATTACTACACTGGAATCATCTATGAAGCTGTTTTGTTGGGAGGTAAGAAATTTTTAGATAAAAGCTGGTATAACTTCATGAAAATCGTTGTACTTTCGAAGAAATTCAGTATCTACATATTGGCGCCCATATTTTTTGGACCTCTGTAACTAAGAAAAATCTATGAAATTTTCACGTTGGTACATTTGGCGTTTTTAACTTTAAAATATATAATCTTTCAAACAATATTTTTTCCAAATAGTTACATTATTATTTTATTTTTACTTTGCAAGAAAAATTAAAATCGCGTATGTAGCCGTTTTCAAGAAATGGAAAAAAACTTATATTACTTTAATATTTTTTTTTTACTTTTTGTAAGTATAGCAGCAGCATAGAAATTTCACTGTTAGTTGATATCTAAGACATTCTAAATTTTTAATAAGTAAAAAACTCAACATTAAATGTTTATTATTTGTATTGTGTTTTTTATTAAATTATATTTAATATGCATTTTAACCTGTAACCACTTTTCCCGATTTTAAAGATCGTTATAGTCGCCCCTTATATATACAGTATGTCTCAGTATCTTGGAATCATATGGAAAACTTTTTTATTATTACTTTTAGGAAAAAAAGTTATTCTTCATAAAAAGTTCTGCATGGTGTAAAACTTAAAATTCAACCCACAAATATTAATTTTTTTTAGTCGTATACGAGGTATGTCAAAAAATATGAATTTGGCGCAAGAGTAAAGTACCTTTATATTTGACAATATCAAAAATTGTTATAAAGAAAAGTTAATCAGAACTAAAAACTACGTTTAAATATGCAATTTCATACATTTACATTAAAAAATTAGGTTTTGTTAATTTTTACTAATCTTTCTATTTTAAATGAACATTTATCTGTTATGATTACAAAAAACATGAAAACCTTAAGTTAAGTCAGGGGATCTAGCAGGCCAAAAAGTTTTAGAATATCAACAAATCATTTGTTTATCAGTGAATCCTAGATTACATGTTACAGTTAAATTTGCATTGATATTGTAGACAAAAAATAAAAAATATTTTTTTTAAATGTAAATGGATGTAATTGCATATTTGAACGTAGTTTTTAGTTCTGATTAACTTTTCTTTATAACAATTTTCGATATTGTTAAATATAAAGGTACTTTACTCTTGAGCCAAATTCATATTTTTTGACATACCCCGTATACGACTAAAAAAAAATAATATTTGTGGGTTGCATTGTAAGTTTTACACCATGCAGAACTTTTTATAAAGAATAAATTTTTTTCCTATAATTAATAATAAAAAAGTTTTCCATATGATTCCAAGATACTGAGACATACTGTATATACAAATCTGACATCTGTTAACCTTACTTTTTTCCAATTTAAAACCCGATTGGTTCAAATAACAATGCATATTGAAATCAGCCAATCATTGATGCCTAACAACGTGAATAATGAGTTAAAATTCCAACATAACTATAATAATGGTCAAGTTTAATTGTGGAGCAAACATGCAAAAGCCAATAAATCCATTTTTTTTAGACATTGGCAAAAAATGTCTACAGCAGTCCCGCAAATATTGAAAACTTAAAAAGGGATGTTGCTCCTGTTGGGTTCTCTCTGTTTCGGTTTTTACTTAAAATGCTGTGATAAGTCAAAAGATTTTATCAAAATTAAAATGTTAAAATGGATTTATCGGTTTTTGCATGTTTGCTCCACAATTATAGTTTTTTATCTAAAACTTAATTTTAAAATTATTGTCGTTTTCTTTGGTAAAAATATTTATATACAGTGTGTCCACGGATAGACTTTACTATACTTGTAAAAATATTTATTTTCAATTTTTCGAGAAAAACTAATTTTTTATAATTTCTTTTGCTTGTTATATAAATATGATTCGCGTAGAGAAACGTCCATTTAGTTGTACAGAAAAAATACTTATTTTCAAAATTTAAAAAATTTGTAATATTTTTTTTGAAGCTCTAATATAAACAGTTGGTAAGGAAAAATCAAATAGTCAAATGAAGTTTTTTCATATGGGTTTTTGATACTAAGATATTTGATATTGAAAATTTAAGATGTTAGTTTTCAAATTTTAACAAATAATTGTAGATATTGTAGACATGTCAGTTAAAACCTTGATTCATAATCACAAAATGAGATAGCAGTCAATTTCTACAAAATAATAGGACCACTCAAGTTAGGATATGAATTGATTTTATTTTTAATAACAATCATCTTGGTAACAACAACTCACATGAAAAAACTTTATTTGGCTTTTTGGTTTCTCCTTACAAGCTCTTCATATTAGACCCTAAAAAAAATATAGAATTTTTAATTTTGCAAAATCTAAAATTGTATTTTTTTGCGCACCCTGTATAACAAAATAGCAGTTTCTCCTGGTGAATGGTATTTATATAACAAGGTGAATGGTATTTATATAAGAAGAAATTATGAAAAGTGACTTTTCTTCGAAAAATTGAAAATAAATATTTTTACAAGTATAGTTAAGTCCATCTGTGGACACACTGTATATAGCGTCATTTTCACTAGAATACATGTTAGGCTTACTGTTGCGCATTAATTAAAAAAATACATTTAAGTGTATATCTCCACAACGCGATTTTAATTTTTCATGCAAAGTAAAGCTAATATCACTATTTTTAAAAAAATATTTAGAAGTTTATATATTTTTTAAGTTGAAAACGCCAAATGTACCAACGTGGTATACAACAAACTGTACATTTTTTTTACTACAATAAAGAGCTTTTTAATAATATACAGAGTGATTTCTAACACGCATACATTTTAGACAATGACAAGGGAGATGAGGTGAGTGTGGGGTCAGTAGCTGGCGGGGGTAGATATGACAACCTTGTGGGTATGTTTGACCCGAAAAACAAGCAAGTGCAGTGCGTGGGGGTCTCCATTGGCGTCGAACGGCTTTTCGCCGTTTTGGAAGCAAAATTGGCGACGAAAAACGAAAAAATACGCACCACCGAAATCGAGATATACGTCGCTTCAGCACAGAAGAATCTTGTGGAGGAGAGGATGAAGATTTGTAATGAGTTGTGGGAAAGCGGCGTTAAGGTAGGAGTCAATCCAAATGAAAACACCAAGAATGAATTTAAAAGTGCGCTGCATGATTTTTTATTTTAATGAAAAAATTTGAGGATGATCTTTTAGGTATCATATATGAAAAACCGTTGCCGTTTTAATTTTTAGTTGATTTATTTTTAATCGGCACCCTTTAGAAACCTAAAATCGTGTCATTTTCTTACTCTCTTATATGTAAGAGGCTAAAACTTTTTTTCTGTGGCAATTATTGAAATCATTGTAATTTTATTTTACTGCCTAGTAAGTATGTTTTCAATATTAATTATTATTATCTAACTAGTTCATCTCATAAAAGAATGGTAAACTACTAAAGATTTGTAATAATTTGCCACTTTTTGTGATTTTTGTCTGGCTCCTATGCCTATTCTGCTAAATCTAGAAAGTTGCTTTTTTTCAGGTATCAAGTACTTATACAATAGAAAACGTAACTATTATTTTAAGTTTCTAGACTGTCATTTTCTTTATTAAAAAAATTATTGAAACTTGATAATTTTCAAAATTAGCCAATTTTGCCCTCAGAAATCATTATGTTGGGGAAAAAATAAAAATCTGAAACTTTCAGGAAATGTAGTCCCCACCTTCATCTTTTTAGTCTAGTTAGTCTTGTTTTGTTATTTTTATCCATGTAAAAGATATAATAATTTTTTTAATAAATCAAGCAGCGCACCATATTTGGTGTTTTTATTTGGAATGACTCGTAGTACAAAGGAAGTTTTCTTGTTTTATTATTTTCACAACTTGGTATTTCGTTGCAGGTGGAACATTCCTATAAAAAAAATCCCAAACTTTTGGCCCAATTGCAGCACTGTGAAGAGTTTGGCATCCCATTGGCCATTATTATTGGCGAATCGGAGCTCAAAAACGGTATTGTTAAACTAAGAGAAGTCGCATCACGTAAAGAGTTCGATGTCCCCCGTAACAAACTTTCCGAAGTTGTAAAAGAACATCTAGCCGAATATGCTAAACAAAATTCTTGCAATGGATCTTCATAACGCTAGTTTTTTTAATTGTTTAAATAATTTTATATATAAATCAAGCCTAAATAGTGTTTTTTTTATCGAGAAATTTATTTATTTCAAATAGTAATTTTTTGGTCTTAAGTATATAATATTTATTATACAACCCTTTAAACATTGTTTTCAATAAATGTTTGACATTAAACTTTGTTTTGTTTTGTTTTTGTAAACGATATCATCCAGTGGAGAAATGCGATTTCTGAAGCAAAGACAGTAAAGCAACACACCTGAGAAAAAAATTGTTAATATTTACTTGTTTTATACCTACATCCTTAAGGTAGGTAGTTGTTGAAAACAATAGTAAATTGGCTATTAATATTAGTTTGTTTATTATTATTGGGTTTTTATTTTATTGTAAAAAGTTGGCAACAACAAGAAAAAAAGAGAAGAAAAAAAAGTTGTTGCTGATAATAAAAGTTAAAGTTGAATTGAAATATTTGTGTGTGAATAAAAACAACTTTTTAAAGTTTCTTGTTATGGCTTAAAAATTGATTATTACAGCATATTTTTTTTATAAAAATCTCAAAAAAACAATTTTTTTTCCGAAATCGGAGTAAACCTAAAGTAAAAGAAATCGGCAGTAAAGTAGAAGTTTACTGCCGATTTAATACGAGTATTGTATGCAACCCATTATACATTTTAAGATGTGTCTACTGCTCCTCAGCAGCAACTAAATAATACTTAAAAAAAGCACCGACGCGGAGGTCGATTGGACCCTTTCATAAAATGTTGTTTAATAAAAATAATAATTTAATTTTATCAATTAGATTAAAAAATCGCCGCGGCGGGCAAATATATCATAACCGTCGCAACAAACAGTACACATAGACACTTCCTACATTTAAATGACATTTGATTTGATCATCAATATTAATTATTAGTATTATTAAATGTGATTTCGGATAAAATTTAATATCCACCTCGGCATTAAAGTCATTTTTTATCACTCACGTTGTTATTTACCTGGGCAAATAATTTCCACATTCGTGATAAAATATACGACTTTACTGCCTTGAAGTTGATACATAAATAACTACTTATTAAATTTACATTTGTTTTTAAACGCACAGTTCATGAGATTTTCATAAATAATCAATATTTAAGCTATCAACATTATCCTATTTTGTTTCTTGTGTTTCAAAACAAATTTTTTAAATAATCTCTGGGAAATCTGTGAAAAATAACACAAATATTTGACAGTTTTAAACCTTAATTTTGCCATTATAACAACAAATTAACAGTTATTTACTTTTTGTGTTGTTTTTAATGATACTTTATGCCTAAATTAAAATTTGTAATAAAGTAATAATTTTTTAATTAAAATCATATATCTATCACTGTGAAAGATATATATATATATATGATTAAAATAGATATTATTTTTACTACATGGCAACACTGAATTTTCTGGAGATACTACCTTGATAAGCTGTGACCTTAAGGCTTTTTAGTCACAGAACATAAGGTTTTAGTCACGGGATGAAGTTAGCAACAGTGGATTTGGGCATTTTAGTCACGGGCTGAAGTTAGCTGCATTATAAATTGCGAAAAAGTGAGGTTAAATCCGTTGACAGTTGACAGATTTCAAATGTTTAACAAATAAAATTAATTTTATATTCTTCTTTGTGTGAAACTCGTTTTTATTTAAAACTCGCTCGTGCCTAATATAACCAAAATGAAATTTATAAAAATAGAAAAAAAGGTTCATAAATAAAAAGCACAATTTCTATAATAATATATTTATCTACAAGAATAGAACTTAATGCCAGAAGGAATGGTAGTAAAAGTTATATATAATTAAAAAAATACTTAATAAATGTCTTATCAATAAAATAAAATAATAAAGTCCAATTTATTTTGCAACACACCCCTTCCACAATAAACCACCGCAGGCAAAACAAATAATAATATAGATAATCACAGTAATAATCAGACCTATAACAACATAGAGTTTAACATTCTTCCAGAACATCGATCTTGCCAGATTACGCGATGTAGTGCGGAATGTAACAGACTAAAAATAACAAAAGTAAGTATATAATTGTGTTGAGTATTCATTTTATTACCCCAGAGTTTAAGTTTTCAGCTTTATTCACCAACAATTCAAGCCTTTCACCCCTCATCGCTACATTATCAATATTTTTCACCATTATGTTTTTTAACTCGTCCAACTCACTGTGTACCTTCGAAATTGTATCAACGTCGTGAGATTCTGAGTAGTGTTTCATTTCGGTCGCTAATATTTTCGAAAATTCCGAATTCATAGCATAAGCAAAGGCTGTTAAAGCACTGGGGCCATACAGCGACAAAAACCTACGTTTAATTTCGTTGAGGAATAAAAACGCCCTGGAGCGTTCAAACTCCTACAAAAACCCAGCAAATTAACTAAATCAACCAAAAAAGAAAACATATATACTTACATCATCGGTTATACACATATACACAATCTGGTTCTCAGATACATAGTGAAACAAGTAGTTTCCGTGTGAGTATGTCAACTTTTCATTTTGCGGGGGTATTTTTGATATAATCTGTTCGGTAACTTCGGAAAAATTACCAGCACAACTAGCATATTTGGTTAAAACCGTGCTACCTCTACACACAACACTATACAAAATTGGCATCTAAAAGAAACGTTATAAGTCGTACAATATAGATATGTATGTTGTGTATTTACCTTGTATATTATAATCTTACATCTACAACGATTTAATCACGTATTAATATTATTAAACAACGCAAATTAACAAATAAACACGACTTATATTTTGACAGCTAACATCTGATCCCCTATGATTCATAGAAAAACAAAGAATAAAAGTCATCAAGTTTTTATCAATTTCATTTAAAGAAACAGTACCTACCTATAAATATAAAGGATTTTATTTTTAAAAACAATACATTAGCATATGTAAATGAGGTGGTTTCGTTCATATGATAATAATGGGTATTTTTGTATGTGTAATGTGGGTTGCCTACGTGTAATGTTGGTTTCCTATGTTCAGATATAATTTTTCCAATCTGTGCACAGATTTTTCATGGATTATTTAAAAAAATCGTATCCAAACAAAATACACATTTCTTGAGTGAACTCTTAAGATAGAAAATACACTGTGGCGTATGTAACTTTAAAAATTATTTTCTTGGAATCTGTGTTGTAAAAAAATATGAAATTGTTCGGGAATGTGCGAGACATTTAATGGAAACTCTTCAAATGGAGATATTACCTTAATTAAATAGGTTCATATTTTTATGTAGATAAATATTATAGAAACGGTGTTTTTTATTTAAATTTGTTAAACTAGTAGTTGTAATATCTTGGTAACACTGTTAAGCTGATAAACTGAAATATGAAACATCTAAAAACAATAGTTTTACACTAATAAATTGCATTAAAACATAAAAAATAATTATTCATTTAAAAACTACAACAAACCTTATGAAATATTGCAAAAAGTTTTATTAATTTATACAGATTAATGTTATAATAAATTATTTATATCAAACTCAGCGAACCGAAACGGAATAAATCATAGTATTAACCATAAAGCTGTCACTATGCTACAAACAAGTCATCACAGCAGGACCGCCCATCGTCATTCCTGCTACCGTTGAAATTCATCTCATCTCATTCACATCCTACCAAACCTCTTACAACAATGCATCCTGCAAACACCCTAGTAACCACGCAGCATCTAGAGACGCGCTGCTTAATGTCCTGCAACGCCAAAGTCGATTTCGTAGGCCCACCCTCAGCAGGAACATCCGAAATCATCCCCCTACCACTCGACGAAATTTACGCACACAGCAGCGTACATTGACTCTGTCCTGCTGCCGATGTCGATGGAGCGCACATGAAAGCGAAACCAGTCAGTGGCAAGCGGCAGCAGGAGCGGGCACGTCGCGCAGCAGGAAATTCGTGTAAACCGTGCGGATGTAATTTTATGTACTATGTGACTACCACCGCTAATTAAGTGATTTTAATTAACCTCGCAGGAATTTCCATCAGCAGGAATTTTGAAAAAATGTGATAATTACACCTAAAACTCGAATTAACAAAAATAAAAATTCAGCAGGAATTCTCAAAAATATTGCAGGAATTTTCAAAAATCCTGCAAAACAAAAAATGCTCAGTTTTCTTCAACAAACGAAAAATGAGCAAAAAACGTAAGGTGATAAATTCCTGCTGAACGCAAGTCAACAAATCCTGCTAAAATGGACGACAGCTCCCCGGATTTGAGCCTGAAACTCCGGAGGGGGTCCAGCGACTCCAGGGACTCTTTCTACATGGACTTCGACAAAGGTATAGACTCGGACATTGAGGAAATAGAGGAAATGGCAATATCGGGTGCCGATCACGCAGATAACACTGCTGACACCAGTGCAACTCCGACCGCGTTTGCAGGAAAAAGCGAGGGAGTCAGGTAAACAAAAAATAACAATTAACTAGATGAAATACTTCAAAAAAAATTTTTTTAAACGTTTAACAAAACTGTCAAATAATGTGTCCAATTCCTGCTAAACACCACAATAGCAGGAATTGCCCTCTTGTAATGTCATAAAAACTAAAATATCTTCATCGCGTTAATAACTCATAAAATGAAGAGGTTATAATTAGATTTCGCGAAACATTATTCATCATTTAAATCACGACTTTCCTGCTATAATTGCAGGAGATAAATCGGCCAGACAATATACCGCTTTGTTCGGCTTTGATTTGCCGTACCAATAGGTTTGGAAATCAATGAGATAAACTTGTTGCAGTATTTTTGCAGGATTTTCAAGGGGCTTGTTTTGAAGGATTGTGTATTATTTACAATCGTTTTGGGAATCCTTATAACTCAAAAGAAAGCCTTTGATAAAAAAATTAGTTTAAAATTACATATAATCTCAATTAAGCGCCTTAATAAAAAGGGGGAAATATTTTTTTACAAAAAACATTTCCGGAAATTAACTCAAACAATGTACATGCGTTTTTGCCTTTTTGTGCATTTCTAACTTCCGTTTGAACACGTACTATTCATTTAAATCGATGTAACTGACCCTCTGTCTAAAAATAAATTTAAATTTACTCCCATATTTATTTTTATTCGTATCGAGAATAAATATGAGCTGCGAAATATGAACTCGATTATTATTTTTGAAAATCAATACAAATGCGTCTGTTAAATTTTACGATTTAAAAAGAGATTCATATGGCAGGATTAAAAATTTGTTTTGATATTTTACTATATTTTAAAAATATGACCCAAGTGTTGTTTCTCCAATTATTTATAATTTGAAATACAAATTGTGTAGAAAATAATGCACAAAATAAAAAAAAACTTTGTATGCATTATTGATCTATTCTTTCTGAAATTTCTCCGCAAAATACACACAATACCCCTTATCATTTTTCAAATCAGCAGTGTGTATGAAGGCATTTGGTGGTATTAATAAAAAAAGCATTTGCCTGTGCGTGACAAAATGTATATGTTTATAAATGGTGTATTACCTGCTTATTAGTTATAAAATAGCTGCGGTTGATATTCGTTTACGAGCCATGAAAAATGTGTGTTAAAAATAAAATCTAGCGAAGCTGAAAAAAACAAACAACAAAGGATTTATTGAATAATGTTCAAGAGACGTTTTGAAATTTAAATCAGACTTCCACTTCAATTTTAAGTGTTAATTTTTTAGGGAGACCAAAATAGCTTCTAAATTATTCTATGAAAAGCATTTCGTTTTGTTAAGTTAATGGTTTAAAAAAATAAAATCAATGTAGTTTTAGATTTTAAAATATGTTTGAGATTATAAATTGTGATTTTGATACTTCAAAATAAATCTTGTAAATAAAATGGCAAAAATCGTTAATAATATACAGGGTCTCCCGAAAAAATGCTGTATTAAAACATAATAAAACAAAGGATTTTATTAATTAAAATCATATCACAATTTGTGTTCCACGTGTCCAGAACTAAATCAAACCTGTCCAATTTATTTCGGGCAATTTTTCCATTAATAATCCAGTCTCTCAGTCAAACGCAAATTCGCCAATGGGAAACATTCAATAAAATACGCATCCCCCCTCAGCCATTGTGTCTACATACATTATTTTAACAATATAATTGCACAGTCAGCTAAACCCTAATTCAGTTACCAACGTCCATTTCGCCATGTTGTTTCCCCTGTAAACACCAGGTATTTATTTTGCTACCTATACTTTATATTGCGTCAAAATGCATGCGTTATGTACTGTGTTATAATTGGGTAATGAGATGATTACCCAAGGGGCTATTTATAACCCACAGGGAATATAATTTTTATAAATTTTTCTTCATAAAAGAGCAACAACCCGAATCATTTACTGTATTTTGGATGTTGTCATATATAAAGTTCATTTTTTTTATCTGGACTGCGGCAACGTTGCAAATTTAGGGTTTTGGTTAGTAAATACAGTTGTCAAGTTGGTCGCATTGATTAAAACAAACTAAGCTAGTTATAAATCTAATTGTGGTTATGTATAAATTATTGTAGGTTACATTGCGCAGTTGTCAAGTTGAGTTGTCGAAATTCGTAGTTAAAAATGCAATTAATTTGGCTTTGGTGGTGCTTGGATGAGTAAAATCATATAAAAAAAAGTAGTTAAATGTAGGTTGCTTTACGGCCCAGAAGAAAAAGTATTCCTAGCGTATAATAATCTTCGCTTTGAAAAGAATTTATATAAAAGAAATTAAATTTTTTTGTGAACGTAAATGTTGTCCAATGGTGAATAATGTGAAAATAATGTGTTATGTAATATTTATAAAACCAAATTCGTTACTTTTTTACTGCAAAAATGCCCATAAGGCGATGTACTTTTTCTTCCATTGTGGCATTCGGCATAATTTCATCAAAATGAAGTTTTGCCCTCAAAAGGGCTTTTACATTCGAATTCGTTGCTATAATTTTTGGCATAATTATCTTTTTATTTATAATTGACAAGTAAATTGTGAATAATAAATATTATTGTCAATTTGACAGTGTCAAAGTATTTAATTAAATTCTTTAGCAGAAGTACCATTTTTAAATACTAAAAATACTAAGTCAAACTGGCATAAGCCACCAATCTAACAAAAAAACACAAGTCCAGATAAAAAAAGGAACTGTATGTTGCTCTTGTTTCGGGGTGTAAGGCAGACCTGGCAACACTGTTTTGGTAATAAAAGCACGTGTACTGCAAATAAAAGGGAAAATGTGGGGTAGAAGGAATAAAATTCCGCTATATACATAATATAAGAGGTAATCGACATATGTAGGGAATAAAATTGCTGCTCTTTGGATGGGTTGGTTGGCAATAAAAAGTATTTAACATGCAATGTGTTGCACGCACCTAATAAGCAAGAAATCTAACAAAAAATAATTGTTGTACAAACATAACTTTAAAATATAATATTTTTATATTTAAAAATATATTTCAAAAGATTTGCGCTTTTGAATAGGGCCAAGAGGTAGTATGTTTCTTAATCCAAATCAAAAACTATCTTCACATCAATTTTTTTTAAATAACTTGAGGGGAGAGATTAATCCAATCCTTTAAGTATATTACAATATTAGCTTAAATCAAGAGCAAGCGTTTTCTTGGTACAAGAACCAAAAATATTTCTTCGGAAGATATTTCTCCTTTGAATGAAGAAAACGTTTTTTAACTCAAAAAAAAATGGGATTTTAACAAAAAAACTGCATCTCTTTATTGAAAAGCTTAGGAACTTTCAAAGAAAGAACATTTGTCTTGCTACAAAAGCATATAACCACATTTTATTTCGATTTTAGAGCAAATATCTCTTGCTTCATTTAAAAGCTTCCGATCTTCACTGAAACTACCAGCGTTGTTAGTATTTAAGCTTAAATTCTCCTCACCACATAGGCCTTTTGATTTTAATTATTAAAACATGCATTTAAGAACTAAAATCGAGGACCTTTGTAGTGAGGGGAGTTCAAGCCTTAGTATTGGCATCGTTGAAAACTAGAAGATTGACTGAAAAAAAGGTTTACAAAAAACACTAATAAACAAACATAAATATGATTTAACATAAAATTTTTATTACATATTTGAATTGATACCTTACCTTCAAAAACATTAAACAAATTTATTAAATTCCAGTTATTTAAAAAGAGGTTTTATGATTCCAACTCCATCGTACATACAACATGCCACAACACAACCGGCAAAATGTATTTTAGAAATACCTATAATAGAATTATAATATTATATCACTGCCCTTAGAGAATGGGGAATTGCAAGTTGCAATGATACAAAACGTACTAAACACGTGTGCCGCAAATGGTGTGCGCGTTTTGCATCCCCTCCCATGTGTCAGACGCTACCAGATTTTGTTAGAAAATTGACATGCTATTGGTATAATTGAGGAGCATCCGTGCAAAACCGGCTATATCCACTTTAACAAAATGTTGGGAAAATGGCAAAAACTCTCGGTTTCCTGGACTTTACATATAAAAGAAAAAGCAAACATGAGTTTTGTGGGCTTTGTGGTACTTGATTAATAAGACATACTTTCGTTTTCAAAAACTTTATATTAAGGCCAAAATTTCAAGAAATGTTTTGGATATAGCCGGTTTTGCTCGAAAACCGAATAAAAAACGAATAAAATGTGAAAAAAAACCTTTGTTATTAAAAAATATTAACAAAATAAGTTTAGTGCAAACATGAAAAAACAGAACAAATTTTAGTAGTAGGTAGTATCGACATATCCAAGCCACATATTATTATTTATTGGATATAGCCGGGTTTGCTATAAAAACGTGGATTTGGCTGGTTTTGCTCCTAAAGCTACCTTTTAAATGTGATTTTAACATGGATATAGTCGAATTTAAACATAATTATCTTGGTTGTCGATAGAAATGAACCCAAAGATGCGAAATAAAAAAAAAACAAAAACTGAATAAAATGGATTTAGCCGGTTTTGCACGGATGCTCCTCAATTGTAATGCATCTTGAAAGAATTGCGTAAATATAGCTTTCGAACAAAAACACTTTGCACTTGGTTGAAAGAAGAAACATTGAAGAGATTTTTTATTTGTTCTAACATGACAGCTCCTTTTTATGAGCTCAGAATTCTGAGCTGTTAATGAACTCATAAATAAGAAGTCAATTTTTTTACGTACAAATGAAGATCTTTTCTTGACCTCTTTTTGAACAATTTATTTTGAGCTTACAGAGTATTCTTTTTTCTTACTTTCAATTGAAATCATACTATTAACTCTTTTAGAAGTCAACATGGAGACGTCACATTTATGACATTTTAATGCGATTACTTTCTTCTCACCGCTGTAACTGCTTGTGTTTGATATAAGAAGCGGCGAAGTAGAATTTAGAGCGTGCTCCATACCAAACGGTCTTAGACCTAGGTAAATGGCTACCCGATACTGACGAGCTCCAAAAGAGCGAAACAGGCCGTCTATCGGTGCCGGTGAAGAGCACGCTTGAATTTAAACAAAAGTGAGAAGAAGTAATCGCAATTTCTAAAATAAGCGAATACGAGCAAATTATTAAAATGATTTTAATAAAATCAATTTAACAATTTAACAAATTAATAAAATAATTAAAATAAACTTTACATGTTAAAATAAGCAACGATCCAGTATGCAATTTCTTCATCAGTACCCTAGTAGTACTTTTATATCCAGAACGGAAAATTCTAAAGAAGTCTTTTTATAAGTTTATACAGTAGGACTTATAATGCTTAATTGCCAAGTCAAAGAAAAGGGTTCCTCAAGAGTTCTTTTTTGAGAAGTCTTGATTAGTTCAATAGGTGGCGCATTCGAAGTCTTAAGAACTTCTTAAAAACTTCTTTTTGATGTTGTATTTGACGTCCAAATCATAAAATAGAGCTTATGCAGTCTTAATTAAAACGTCATATTGCTGTCTGGGATACTTCTTCCACTAAGAACTTTTTTCTTCAAGCAATAAATACTCTTTTAAGCTAAAATGTTTCTTGCCGCTAATAATTTTTTATCAAGAGAGTTAACTACTTTAGTTTAAGGGCACCTTTTTTCAGTGTAATACCGGTTCTTGGTATTTTACTGTTGAGTGGAGACTTTCTTAATCAACGCTTTTAATAATGCTAAATGCTGTTTGAAATTAGACTTATCAATTTGTTAAAATCATAGATTAAAAAAAACATTTTATCAACATTCAACCATCCCTTCAAACTTAACCCTCATAACCCAAACACAAAGCAGTCTCCACGCAGTCTAGATCTGCCTGAACGGTGAACTGCCGAGAAAGGCGTTCGTCCTCCATCCCCCATTCTCTCCCAGCCGACTAACAAACTAATGCTTCGTGCGATTTCTCTCGTTCCAGCTGGCCGACAATTCCGCCCCAAAACATGTCGGGCGGCAGCCGAAGCAGCGCCCTGGGGGGAGGCGATCCCCTCCTGCCCTCCCCGGCGTCGCAGAGCGCCGTGATCGTCTCTCCCGAAACGCTCAGCCACTCGTCGCCCTCCAAAAGCGTAAGGCAGTCCACACATGTGCAGATCGCCCCTCCACCGCCGCAGACCAAGTAAATAAACCATACGATATCTCTGTTAATATTAGGTTGACAGCAAAAAGTTATAATTATAAAACATGTAGAATTTAATTTTATACAAAAAATGTTATTACAGTTTTTGCTGAAAATTTGACGGAAAGCAAGATATTTCAAAAAAGGCCGAGGAAAGGTTCTTTTTTTAAAGAGTTCTCTAATATTAACTATACAGAAAAAATATAAAAAAATTAATTCTATCTTTGAAAATAATACCACAACTTTTGTAAAAAAAATTGACAGAAAGCAAGATATTTTGGAAAAACGTCATTTATCTGTCATTTTTTAAACACTTCTACAAACTTGTCAATATCTTTGCTAATATTTGTTTGAGAGAAAAAAGTCAAAATTATAAAATATTTAGGATTAAATTTTGTACAAAAAATATTATTACAGTTTTTGCCGAAAATTTGACGCAAAGCAAGATATTTCAAAAAAGGCCGAGGAAAGAATTTTTTTTAAAGAGTTCTCTAATATTAACTATACAGAAAAAATATAAAAAAATTAATTCTATCTTTAAAAATGGTACAACTTTTGTAAAAAAAATTGACAGAAAGCAAGATATTTTGGAAAAACGTCATTTATCTGTCATTTTTTAAACACTTCTATAAATTTGTCAATATCTTTGCTAACATTTGTTTGAGAGAAAAAAGAAAAAAATTATAAAAAAATTAGGATTTAATTTTGTACAAAAAATGTTATTACAGTTTTTGCCGAAAATTTGACGGAAAGCAAGATACTTCAAAAAAGGCCGAGGAAAGGTTTTTTTTAGAGTTCTCTCTATACAGAAAAAATATGAAAAATATAATTCTATCTTTAAAAATGATACCACAACTTTTGTAAAAAAAATTGACAGAAAGCAAGATATTTTGGAAAAACGTCATTTATCTGTAATTTTTTATACACTTCTATAAACTTGTCAATATCTTTGCTAATATTTGTTTGAGAGAAAAAAGTTAAAATTATAAAATATTTAGGAAGAAATTTTGTACAAAAAATGTTATTACAGTTTTTGCCGAAAGTTTGACGGAAAGCAAGATATTTAAAAAAAGGCCGATGACAGAATTTTTTTTAAGAGTTCTCTAAATTTAGCCGCCAATATTAACTATACAGAAATAATATGAAAAATTTAATTCTATCTTTAAAAATGGTACCACAACTTTTGTAAAAAAAATTGACAGAAAGCAAGATATTTTGGAAAAACGTCATTTATCTGTCATTTTTTAAACACTTCTATAAACTTATCAATATCTTTGCTAATATTTGTTTGAGAGAAAAAAGTTAAAATTATAAAAAATTTAGGATGAAATTTTGTACAAAAAATGTTATTACAGTTTTTGCCGAAATTTTGACGGAAAGCAAGATATTTAAAAAAAGGCCGATATCAGAATTTTTTTTAAGAGTTCTCTAAATTTAGCCGCCAATATTAACTATACAGAAATAATATGAAAAATTTAATTCTATCTTTAAAAAGAACTTTTGTAAAAAAAATTACAGAAAGCAAGATATTTTGGAAAAACATCATTTACCTTTGTGTCATTTTTATAAACTTGTCAATATATTTGCTAATATTTGTTTGACAGAAAGAAGTTTAAATTAAAAAAAATGTAGGATTTAGTTTTATAAAAAAAAATGTTAATACCGTTTTGTCTAAACTTTCACGGAAAGTTAGATATTTCACAAAAATTTTTTTTAAACATCTCTCTAAATGTAGTCGTATCTTCGCTAATATTAACTATACAGAAAAAAGTTACATATAATAAAAATGCGAAATTTAATTAACTATAAAAATGAATTTACAACTTTTGATCAAAAATTGATATTTATAAAGCAAGATATTTAAAAAAACAGCATTTATCTGTCTGTTTTTGAAACACTTTGATAAACTCGTCAATATCTTTGCCAAAATTAATTTTTCAGAAAAAACTTATTTACAAAAGATGTGAGTAATTTAATTTTCTACAAATATTATTATAACAAATTTTTTTAAAAATTCTTAGAAACTGAGATATTTAACAAAAAGACAGAACAATTATTTTATTTTTGCGGTTATAGGTCGGTGTCCCCTGGCCCTTTGGCTGTGACCACTATGGGTTATTATCAGTACCATCAGCAGTTTCCCGTGATAAGAAGAATGTCCAGAGCTGAAAAACAATTAGAGTGGAAACAGCTTGGAGCGTAAGTAATATTACTATTATTCTTGTGACTAAAAGAAGTAAATTTTATTGAGACTTTTCTTGAAAATAAGATCGATTGAACGAAAGAGGGGACCAAGTGTAACGTAAAATAAAAGGAAAAGCGGAAGGAAATGCCGAAAAATTCTTGTGGGATAATAATTTTTCTTGGTTATTGCTTAGGGAGTTGAGTTATATATTATGAGTTATAAAAGCATAAGTTAGACGAGTATTGAATAATGTTTGATCAATAATGTTAAATAAATTGTTCGCGACCTCTTTTTAAATGAATAGCCTTGTACTTTACCGCATGCGATGGTTTAAATAATAAAAAAGTAAAAAAAAAATTTTTTTTTGAATTTTAGTGACGCATTGGCTACAACACTTTCAGCTTTGTACGGAAAATTATTGGTTGTCATGGGAACGGCTTTTCCGATGGCTGAAGTAATTTCCACGTACATACCTCCGAGTTTTTACGAAGCCTACTACCTTTATTTATACATAGGCAGCATGTTTTTTCTACTATACATGTATCTTGTTCTTTTGAGGGACAAAAGAAAACGAAAAAAGGAAGAAAAAGCCAGTAAGTAATTTTTGTAAAAGCTCATTTACTATTTTTACAAACTTTTAGTTTTGACGCAATATTTCACCCTATTTTTATTTTTATTGTCGACATGGACTTCCCCCTATGCGAAGGGTTAAAAGCGACAGGTACAAGTGTTTAAAAAAGAAAGGGACTTATTGCATTGTGCTTCGCACGAGTGCCAGCTAAGAGTTACGTTTTTTATATATTTTTTTTCAATGAGGCTCTTTAGTATTACAAGTTTTACAAGGGTATCTACTTGCCCTTTTAGTCTGAAACCAAGTATTAATTAGTTGATTTTTAGCGAAAAACAATAATAATAAGAATGGTATTTTTTCTACTTTTCTACCTTACAAATACACATTGACAAGTTAGTACTTAGTAGTTAGCAACATTTGACTCGATATATCGTTAATTGTTCCTTTGTTCGCATTGCTCCATTTAAAGCAAAAATTAATGCCACTTTCATAAAGAGATACACAGTAAAAAAAGTAGTGAAGATATTTAACTCTAGTAAACTCTAAAAACATTCTATATGCGACCACTTTTTTAGAGTTATATATTTCTAGGGTAAATATTATTAGATTTATCTGCACTTAATCCAAAAATCTGAAGATCAACTTAATCGATGCTGAAGAGTACGTTGCAATTAAAGGCATAACTCAAAACCTAAAAAGATGTTAAAGTTGAAACTTAAAAAAAAATTACAATATGAACTTAAAAGCTGTACATCTTTTACAAAAATCAACCGATTTTGACAAAATTTGTAGGGTATACCAATAAAAGTACGCTCAATAAAATACCATTAACAATAGGTTTGTTTATTCTTCTGTTTTAGAGGAAAAAGCCAAAGACGACAGTAGCAGCATAGTAACAGACGAAAGTGACAATACGTCTAACGATAGCGCCGATACCGAGTCGAATAAGTTTCGGTCTCGTAAAGTTTCTTTTTCCACGCCCAAACAAAATCACTATGGGAGTTTTTACTTGAGAATGGGGGCAGTCGGTGAGTAAAACAAACGTTTGGGACATTGATATCTTGTGAATCATTTAGTGAGATTTTAATATGCAGACAAAATGTGTTTGTAATTATTTTTGACTCCGGAAATAGTTTAGTAGTGAGAATACAAAGTTTTGTTTTAGCGTTTGGTATTGGCAGTATGATTTATTCTGGTTTGGAGTTTGGACAATATTTTGAGTTGGAAACGAATACAAAATGCCATAATGTTCTATTAGCTTTAACACCTGCTACTAGAATGGCCTTTATTTTTATACAGATGTATTTTATATTCCTCAACAATGAAGTAAGGTTTTCTTCGAAAAAAAAAAATTTTTGTTAAATGTTATATTTGTAGCAAATGAGCGTATACAAACACAAAATAGCCGCTAGATTTGGCCTAATGCATATGATTGGCACGAATTTATCAGTATGGCTCAATGTATTAGTTCAAGAAACAAAACACGAAATTTTGACGTTTTACAATCCCGAAAATAATTCCCTAAGGATTTCACACAGGATTCCATATAAAGGTAATTTTTTTCACTTTTTGCAGTTTAAAGAAAATATTTTACCCACTGTGCGAAACTGCATTAAGAAAACCTAGCGCAACTTGATTCAATTAAAGGGTCGTGTAGAAAATTTATTACTCTCCTTAAAACCTTATTTATATTTCATTGAATTTACGGGAAACCTTTCAAATAAATTTCCAATTAACTTTCCTGTTACAAAGATTTGTCCTTTTGAAACTTAGTTTTACTACCTTGCGCATATTATAAGTTTTCCCCTATAAACACTTGTTACATGAAAGGGTTGCTTAATGAACTCATAAAGATTCAAATTTCCAATTGGTAATATAACTCAAAAGATATGAGGTATTTTTAAAACTATAAATTTTATGAAATGAAACATTGTATTAAATTTTATATAAAACGAAAATTTTATATAAAACAATAATTAAAGTAAAAATATTCTGAAAATCTAAAAACTATGATAACACAGTACAACACGATTTTCCTCCTATGAAAAATTTTAACAGATTTCTTTACACAGCCATTCTTATAATTTTAACCTTAACAGATTTTTAATTCTCTATCTTGGTATAAATCATTTTTTTTTCTTCAAATACTTTTACATAATACTAAAATTATAATTAAAGAAAATAACAATTTTATTTTTTTTAAGTAAAAAAAATATTTCTGGTTGTAATTTTTGATTTTTTTTTAATATAACAACAGATTTGTATTTATCTTATATTATATTATATTAATATTAATTATATATGTTGGAAACAAATCTTGATCTTTTAGTTTGACGATTATACATTGCTTTCGAATCTATAGCGGTATCACAACCTAAAAACACAACTTGATATACAGGGTGTTTCACATTCGTAGTCCATTGGAAGCTTCTGGAGAAAGGAAAAAATATAGATTTAAAATTTAAAAGCGTTTATAATCCATTAAGTTTATTTTTTTAAATATTTTGTACAAAATGCAACTTTCGGTATGACCGGAAGTGACATCAACTTTGTTATTTCAAATAGAACACCCCATATATTTTTACATTTTGAAATTCTACATAAAATTCTGAGTGAAATTACTATATCATGTCCTATACCTAAAGTGAATAGTTTTCTAGATGTTTGCTATTAGGCTATGGGGGTAAAATGTTTGGAATCTTAAAACATTGTTTAAAAAATTCCATGTCAATTCTTAAACATTTTTCAACAAATTACCCGAGAAACCCCAGGGCTAATTGGGCTAACTTGAAACTTTAATAACTTTTTTATTTTAAATGTAACACCCGGTATGTTAAGAAATTGACATGGAATCTTTTAAACAACGTTTTAAGATTCCAAAAATTCCACCCCCATTTCTGCAAACCTAATAGCAAGATAGTTATAGGCTATTTTTGATTGACGCGCACTTGTCATATTTTAACGGAAAAAATTAATAACTCCAAAACTATTTACTCTAGGATATGGTATAGTAATTTTACTCAAAATTTTATGTAGAATTTAAAAAATTAAAAATATATGGGGTGTTCCTATTAGAATAATAAAGTTTATGTCACTTCCGGTCAAGCCGGAAGTTGCATTTTGTTTAAAATATTTTAGAAAAATAGGCTTAATTGGATTATAAACGCTTTAAAAATTTCTAACCGATATCTTTTGCCGTTCCTCAGAAACTCTCAATGGACCACGAACGTGAAACACCCGTATTTCGTAAATGTGCAACACCCTGTATATAATTAAAATAATTTTAAAATAAATAAATAATCTTAATAGTTGTCCATTTATTCAGTGAATAAATTTTTCATAAAAATATACTGTCTAGCTGTTATCGAATCTGTTATATTATGTGCCAAATACCGTGGATAACATTTTATTGGATCTCACTTAAAAAAAATGATGAGATCATTTTTTTAAGTCTATTTTCAAAATCTATAGAAATTTTTCATGGGAGGGAAAAAAATCAAGTTTTGTCGTACAGTACGGTACTGTGTAATATATTCATTTAAAGAAGTACCAGCATTTCTTTCTTTTGAAGGTAACGTTCTTGGATTACCAGCTGTTCCACAAGATCATCCACCAGAAGCCCATGGTCACCACATTGTAATTAGGGGTCTCAAAGGGCCCCACCATCTGTACGAATGTAGGAGAACTAACATCATAGGTTCCCTTGTGCAAGATGCTTCTCCATTTTTGTTCCCCTGCACTATAGAGTACAGCCTGATATGCGCAGCCATTTTGTATGTTATGTGGAGAAGCATCTCCAAATTGCCTCAGAGTTCCCTCAAGAACAAAAACGATTTGAACTCGTACAAGAGAAGCCCACATCACTACTCCGTGGATTGTGCCAGAGCCCACAAAGGTTTATTCGTTGGTATACTGTTTTTAGTACTAACCATCATCTCACTGATTTTGTTCTTTGTACTGATATCGAGAATAGATTTTGTGAGTTTGGCTGTCATAGAGGTCAACATTTGCGAGTTAACTTTGTACGCCCTCACAACTTTGGCCTCGGTTATCGGAATGTGGCAGGTGCGACAGCTCAAATATGACGGTACCAAAAACCTCCAACTGGATAACATACTTCTAATAGGCGCCCAAACAGGCATGTTCATATACAGCACCTTTACCATAATAGGCGGCCAATTCACAATACAAAAAAATACGGTTCTAGTACTAGTAACAGCACTAGCATCGCTACTGCAGACTACATGCCAAACCATATTCATCCTGGACGCTTCAAGAAGAGCCTGCAGCACTCCAGACCAAATCCGTAAGAAACCTGGACGGGAGATAGTGACGTTTTTGCTTGTAACAAACCTAGCCATGTGGGCTATCAACACCCTGGAAAAATCCAGGGCCGAATCGCACCCCATACAGCTCCACTTCTATGGTTTATGGGCGTGGACCATCATCACCCACGTCTCCATGCCGCTCGCAATTTTCTACAGGTTCCACTCCACGGTTTGCCTGTGCGAAATCTGGAAACGCGCCTATAAGATAAAACCGACTTATATGTGATAAGGCATATCTAATGATGACAAGGTATATTAAGACTACTTAGATTATTAAAAAACAGTACAACAAATAGACCAATCTAGTCGACATATGTAGGACACTTATTTTTTAGAAGTATACTACAAAAAACACTATTTATAGACTTTAGCACTAGAAAAGTTTAACACTAAATCAAATGGTGTAAATATCATGTAACGAATATCAATAATTAAAGTATAGTTAAAATTTGTTAGAAAGGATACCGACATGCTCTGATAGCGACAAAATAAATTGATGATAAGCTAAAATATTGGGAAAATGATGACTTATTAATATCATGACAAACTATAAAGACGACAAATTAAAATGATGGCAGGCTAAAATAACAAGTTCAAATGATGTTTAAATGAGAATAATATAAAATTGTGACCAGCTACAATGATGATAAGCTAAAATGACGACAAGTTAAAATGACAAGTTAAAATGATGATAAGCTAAAATTACAATGATGATAAGTTAAATTGACAAGTTTAAATGATGACAAGCTTAAATGACAATATCTTAACTTTGTAAAGGGTTTTTGAGTAACGAGTTTTAAATATTGATAAGTTAAAACGACAAGTTAAAATGATGATAAGCTAAAATGACGACAAGTTGAAGTGACATTAAATGATAATAATATAAAATTGTTACCAGCTACAATGATGATAATTTAAAATGATGACAAGTTAAAATGATGATAAGCTAAAATGATGATAAGCTAATATGATGATAACCTAAAATGATGATAAGCTAAAATGACGACAAGTTAATTTGGTGATAAGTTAAAATGACAAGTTAAAATGATGATAAGCTAAAATTAAAATGATGATAAGTTAAAATGATGACAAGCTTAAATGACAATATCTTAACTATACCTACTTTGTAAAGGGTTTTTGATTGACGAGTTTTAAATATTGATAAGTTAAAACGACCTGTTAAAAAGATGATAAGCTAAAATGACGACAAGTTGAAGTGACGTTTAAATGATAATAATATAAAATTGTGACCAGCTACAATGATGATAAGCTAAAATAACGACACGTTAATATGATGATAAGTTAAAATGACAATTTAAAATGATGACAAGCTTAAATGACAATATCTTAACTATACTTTGTAAAGGGTTTTTTGCATATCACATGCATCGAATATTATATAAATTTAGCATACAAGTTTTGTAAAATGTACCTAAAACAAAATGTACTTTCATACTAGCATTTCGTAGATTAAAAAAAGAAGTGTAATTGTTTGACTGAAAGAAGCACATCATGTATATTTTTTATAATTTCCTCTTAGAATTTCGGCTGTAGATTTTTGTAATTTTATACATTTCTGTGTTGTACAAATATTCGGGATCAAAAAAGGTAATTAAGGTACATTTTTAACTCTAAGCATTCTATAAGAAAAAATACAAGGCGTCCGAACATTTAAGTCTTTTCTATGATGTTTATATTGGGACACCATGTATAATTAATGTTAATAAGTGTGTTTTTATACTTAAGGTGCCAAGCTTGTTAAAATAAAACCGATTGTTAGCATGAAAAAAATATTATTAATTAGGCTCAATTTTCGTTGTTTTTGTGCCATATTATATTCAGGTGAATTTTAGAATATTTATAATATATTATTATTATTTGTTATGTATTTTACAATTTTATTGTATATATAACTATAATTTTATTTATTTCAATGTTAACCTTAATTGCAAGTTATTTACATAATCTGTAAATGTATTTAAATATAATTATTATAACGTATATAAACTTGTTTATTTCACAATTTTATAGACGTAGGTATCATTCAATGGTAAGTAGTACTCATTAAAAAGTCGTTAATTTTTCCATAAAATAAACATAAACTTTACTTTTTACTTTGGTACGAGTTAACTTATTAACAATAATATAAATATAAATAAGTCTTTATTTTATTTTTTCTCTTCAGAAATATTTTATGAGTATATTCTTTGATGACTCACCCCCGAATTTTGCTCCCCTTTCTATGCAGAATAGCGATAGGGTCAACTTAAAAATAGCAAAGGCATTACATAACTACTCCATGGCTGTTAGATAAAGTATTGTAGATTTTGGTATGAGGGTGGTGTCTTAAAAATAGAAGAGAATTGATGGGGGACAGGGTTGTATTTGGAAATAACAAACATATAATAAAAAATTCATGTATAAACCAAATAATGATTACAAAACAATAATATTCAGGTAAAAACTGATTTTATCAAAAAATCTGTAACGTAATTATGATAAGGAATCAAATGCTCTACAAAAAGGTATGTTATGTTTCTATCGCAAAACTAATCATTAAAAAATAAATCTAAGGTCAAATTTTAAAAAGTTTTGAAAACAATTTTTTCCCAATAATTTATAGGTCACATAATAGTTGAAATAAGTAGATAGTACATATTTTTGTTAAAAATTAACTGATCTACAAAACATTTGTTCGCGTATTTCCCGTATGTGTAGTGAATACCTTTTTAATTAATAGGTATGACATAAATGCCAAGGGATAATAATAATAATAATAATAATAATAAGAATAATAATAATAATAATAATAATTTAACATTTAAAAAAAATGTAGTTACATGAACTGCAGTTCATTTTTTTTTATTTGGACTGATTGATTTAGTATTTAAAAACTGGTACTTCTGCTAAAGACATTAATTAAATACTCTGAGACTGTCAAATTGACAGTAATATTTATTATTGATAATTTACTTGTTAATTATATACCTAATATCAATATAAAAATATAACTATCCTAAAAATAATATCAGATTCTAAACTAAAAGAACTTTTAAGGGCAAAACTTCATTTCTCATTTTTGGAGTAAAAAAGTAACGTTTTTGGTTTTACAAATATTAAATCACACATTATGTTCAGCTAAGCAGATCAACCATTTTTGAAATTTTAAAAAATAAGGGGGTAATAAAAAATACAAAAAATAAAAATTAATTACTGTTACGTAAAAACTTTTTCTAAAAAATCTAGTAGTTAATTTTCCTGTTTTTGAAAGTAGAATCCATTTGGTTTAAAAAAGATAAGCAATAATCAAGAAACTTTTTCTTCTTTCAATTTGCAGTTACTAATCATTAATAGTCCTGGACAATAAATACATTATAATTATTATTAAGCCACGACAAGAATTAACGTCCAGTGGCTTTAACAAAATACTCATTTTGAAAAAAAATTTCAAAAAGAATGCGAAAATTGTTAAAAGCTCATTTTAATAAATAGAAACACAAATGTATAAAGACATTTCCAAAATCAACAAGATTAATATTTTTCATGGTAGATATTAGAAAAAAAATCGGTATAAGTTTAACTTTAGTTGCGATTATCTTTAAAACGCTTACATTTATAAGAAAACCTCAATATTTCTCTAAAAAAACATTTTTGAAAAAAATTGGTTTTTACCACCGAAAAATCCATAAAAACAAAAGAATTACAGCCCTTTAGAGACCACATTACAGAACAAAGAACCTTTAGCTCCGGGTGCTAACTCCGGCCCTGCGCGGTGCAAGGGACATGAATGAAAGAAAAATCCCTCGGGCCCTTGGCTCGATCACGTGACATAAACACAGAGTGAATTTCTCCGGTGCGGCTGTGGCACCAAAAAAGTGGGGGGAAATCGAGACAGCAAAACGCATTTCTGTATAGAAGTGAATAACAGTGAAACGCCGTTTATGTCTATAACTTGACGCATTCGACGAAACGCTCAACAGTTAGCCAATAAAACTCGTTCCCAAGTGAAAAAAAAATACAAAAACAGTTCATTAGGATTGAGTGTTAGAGTGCCGCCAAATGTTTCTTTGTGTTTACATGGGAATATTTTTTGTTTCAAGATGTTTGGGTGAGTTAAATCCTGCAAACGGCAGGAATTTACGCATAATTAACACTAAAGAAAATACAAATTACATGTAACAGTTGAGAAAATAAACTTTTAAAGTTTTTGTTTATGTCCAACTTTTTTGGATTCGGTAGTATAATTTATTCGATCGGCGTCACAACCACCCCGATGCTTCTTTGTTCGAAACAGGTGTTAGGGGGAGCATTGCACCCTTATGTAAACTACGTTCACAATTTAAATTACATCACATCCAATGCTAGCATATAAAAAAACAATTATCACAATTTTTACAAATTAATGTTGAACATCCACTAAAAAGTACAAAAAGTAAACAAAATATAATAATTGTGTTGGTAATAAACTCGCAAATAAATTGTGAATGTACTATACATTCAGCCTTTGTTTACTATATCCCATAATTTTTTTAATTGCGTAGAATTTTCCAGCTTATTCCGCAATTAAAAATAAGGGTTGCCATGTAAAAAACATTTCTATTAAAAATAAGCGTTTTATATAAAAAATATCGACCATGAACCTCATTACATCACATACAGTTATTTCATCCTTCATCTTAAACATTATATTATTATTATTATTATAAACAAAATTTTTTGTAAATCCCATATGCATTTTACGAAAAAATGTTTAAGATAAAAAATAAATGATTCAAGGGGGGAAATCAATCAGTACTAAAATTGGTCCTCACACTCTCCTCCTTATAGGGTAGAATTTTCAATGGAACACCCTATTTTGTATTGCAGATTCGGATCATTCGACTAAAAATAGGTAGATTTTGTCTAAAACATTTTTTTATATTTGTAATAGATGGCGCAGAAATGAAAAAAATCAATTTTTTCGATTTTTCTTCTTATACGATTCTGCAATAATTTTTCTATAAATATATCACTTTTTTGGTAATAATTATATTATTAAATTAATTAATATTTATTATTATTATGTAGATATAAAAACAAATATGTTTTGAAAGTTTCACGTGTTTTATTTACTTATGACAATTGTTTCGTCACACAGTGACTTCTTCAGAATGTAATTCTGAAGAAGTCACTGTGTGACGAAACAATTGTCATAAGTAAATAAAACACGTGAAACTTTCAAAACATATTTGTTTTTATATCTACATAATAATAATAATATGGAGTTTCATCAAGTAAAGGTCGAAACAATCAAATATTTAATTAATATTTAAGTTTCAAGCAGGCAGGAATCTTGATGATCCTGTTAATATACGCTCAGCGTTTTCCGGAAAAAATTCCATCACTTACTTCATTTCACCGTACAGTCGAGCAGTTTACTACAAACGGGAGTGTTCAACCCAAAAAAAGAAATATTAAAAAACTAAACACTAAATACATTAATTCATTTAAACTTAAGGAATTTTCAAAGAAATTTTGAGGGTATACCGACAAAATCATGCTCCTTGGAATGTACCAAACATATTCTATAATTTCGAAACATGAACAAATTTATTCATCATTTGTATGCCCCACACAGGCCATCAGTTACTTAATATTTACTGCAGGTTCATTTAAATAATTTCGCATAAAATTATACTGTTTTTAAACTTCCTGTGTATACACGAAAATTAATTACATTAATTATTAAACTATTAAATGTTTACGTAAAAGGTTTTCCTACTTTAACATCAATTATGCTGTCCATTATTATACAGAATAGTAGTGTTAAAGACAGCAATTATTGTGCTATAAAAATCCTGGGATTTGTTTCATGTTGAAGATGTCAAAAGCATACAGAATTCAAAGAACAACTTAAATTAAAAATAGACCAAAGTAAGTGATTTTCTTGGAAATAATCTGCATTCTAATTGGAAAATTATGCATGGTCTTAAATGTTTTTTACCTGCTTCAACAGATGTTAACACTACATTTATTTTAAGACCTTTTTTACCATATGCTTTTAAGTGTTGACTAATATAAAGTAGACAAAATAATAGTGAGGTAAGGTTATTAAATTAAAATAAATGCTTTGCAGTGACTATAGGGGTTATACTGGTTAATTTTTCAATTAGGTTCACTTTTTAAAACCTATGTATATATACATATAGGGGCTTAAAACTTGAATGTGACGATTAGTCTTTTTTAAACGAATTAAGATTTTTATCGTGTCCTGACTACTTCCGATCAAAATAACAAACAGCAGGAAATGACTAAAGGGTGCAAACAAACACACAACATGCTCTCCCCATTTTTTTTATTCTAGTGAAACTCACGTGTTGATGTAAATACGCGTCATTCTGTCAAATGATTCGTCGAGTGACTCCAGACTTTTTGTTGTTTGTCGTTACAGTTCACAGGATATATCCTATATAAAATATGAGGGAAAAGTTGACGAGGTTTATTTATAAATTGGTAATTTGCGTACATACACCGATGAACAATTTCTATCTGAAAACTGGTCAAAATTGATTAAAAAATATTTGGGGTACAAATTTTAATTCAATTAGTTATTAGTTATTTGAAGAAAAAAAATGATTTATAACAAAATACAGAATTAAAAATCTGTTTAGGTTCGAGTTTAGGGTAAAATAATAAGAATGGCTGTGTAAAAAATTTAAATGACGTGATTTCGTGAAACGGAGAGACACGGGTACATTTTTTTAACCTTAACTTTAATTCGAAAAAATTGGGAAATTTTCAGAAAAATTGACTTTTTAACTTCTTAAATTTTATTCAAAGGGTAATACGAAAAAATGCAAATGTCAATTTTTTTGAATTTCCAAATTTTTACGGATAGTACCTATCCGTACACTGATATCGAGAAAAAAGTGAATTTCCGACGCTGATTATAATCATATAATATTATGATTATAAAAATTATTTTTTTTAATTCAGTAAGAATATTCTACCGGGCCGCAAAAAAACCTATTCGGTGCTGTATTAACTTAACTAACTTAACTTTTATTTAACACTTCGAGTTAAAAAATTATAATTTTGTAATTTAACTTTATAAATCATTCATTATTTTATAGTTAGATGTTTTTAATGGACTCCTTTTTGCAACAAAAAAAAACAACAGACAGTATATTTCACGTTTAAGTTTATTTTCTTAAATTTAATTTAATGTTTAGTTTTTTTTGTAATAAAGGATTTTTTTAATTTAAAATAATGTTAACTTATTGATTGCCACTTTTTTTCAAATGTGTATATTTAAAAAAAAAATTCAATTTTTCCCAAAAAAGCTAATTTTTCCGAGACCTGGGAAAAAAACAGAAAAAACAGGTTTTTTCCTCAATTTTTCCGACACTTTAAAACCCTAGTAATAAGCTAGCAAAAGTTAGTAATAATAATTTAATAACATGGGATCTTAGTTTTTTATTATTAATAGTTATTTATGTCATTAGGTTAAGAAGTAAGGCTGTTTGTGCTAAGCTCAAGGTCTACAATTGAGCGAAGCACAAAAAGGTACTTCTTGGCCGAATGGCATACAACATTTTATCTTCAAAGCACTTTATATAGGTCAATTTAATTCAACATCAAAGCGGCCTAACCTCACTTTTTTTAAATCTCATTTATTTATTAGCTAAAGATTACATTAAATGTACAATAATTATTATTGCTTTTAGTCTAAAACAAGTTTTAGAAGCAGTAATAGTTTGACAATACCTAGCAACATGATTTAAGTAGAAATGGATTTTTGCTATTACATTGAATTCAATTAATTGTTTAATAAATAGGTAGGTATCTAATTTCAATTTGTTTGGATTTTTATTTAAAAAATAGGTAGTTTGGAATGTTTAAGCTGTGTTTAACATTTAATTTCACTGAAAACTTAAAGCAAATTAAAACTTAAATATAATTTAAATCGTAGAAAAAGAATCGTGCGTTTTCTTGGTTGCCTAACCTCACTTTTTGTTTTATTATTCATATTTAATTTTACAATAATTTAATAAAAAATATTAAACATTAACAGTAAAACAAACAAATTAGTGCTTATTATAAATAAATTAAACCAGTTTAGTACGTTAATTTTTAGAAAAGGATTAATTTGTCAAAACAATACCCCTAGCGGAAAAAAATCGAACTAATTACTTGCCTCATAAAATTTTTCGTGGAGATAAAATAATTTAATATTATTGGAATATCTTCTTGATAACTGAAATAATACACATTTATTTCAAATAATGCTTATAAAAGGATATACTCGAGGAGTATTTTGTCTGTAGTAAAACTTATAACAATTTTGTATGTGTAGAATCTAAATCGGTTTTTTTCTATTTTAAAATTATTCTTTTTTATATTAATGGATCGAAAGTTGCTATAGCAACTTACACAACATCATACTAAAAAAATATCAATATCTGCAACCAATATAGAGTACTATAGTACTCTATATTGGTTGCAGATATTGATATTTTTTTAGTATGATGTTCTCTAGAGTAGCCTCCTTCCATAAAAAACCTAATCCAACATATTTTAGATTTTGTAACAATTTTTTCTCTGTGAAGCAAATTAAATCTCATCTTCCCCTTAACACAGACCAGTAAGCACCCTTAAGGGCGCGCGCTTCCACACCCGCCGCAATCCTACAGACCGCTCGACGCCGTAAATAGCCATAGAGCAGCGTCGCGGCGCCCAACGTGCGTCCCTCGTCGTGGTAGTGTTGCCAGATGCACTATTGCAACTGCACCTCCATCGAATCGATTACGCCAGTATAATGTGGACATGTTCAATAAGGTCCAAGACCAGTCCAGAGAAAAACAATCCAAAGAGGTTAGGGAGCAAACGCAGAATGTGGTTAAGTGCAAAGTCAAAATTGTAAGTTATATGTTGTGTCATGTTAACACGTTTTGTTTTTGACCCCGGTCGTTCACCTAGATAAGTGTAGTGCAACAAGTCAATAGTTTTCAAGTTCTATGTTCTGAAAAAAAACATACTTCTTAATTTGATTCCATTTCATTATCTTTATCGACTTAAAAGAAATTGTTAATAGTAATAGAAGATGTGGGGGTAAGTCAGGACCAATTATCAAGCCTATTACTTGAATTTTACCAACACCTATACCACCTTTAAATCATATGTAGTTATCATATATTATATCACGAGAACTATGAATTTAATCGGTTAAACTAGGCTCAGTAGTTTTTTGTTTGGTTTTTCTTGGAAAATGTTGAATGCAAAATAATTTAATTTTTATTTTTAATTATTTTGCATGAAACTATTTTCCAAAAAGAAAAATCAAATAAAAAACTTACTTAGCATAGTTTGACAGATTAAATTTATAGGTTGAGTGATATATGTCTAGATTATTTCTTGAATTAAAGGAAACTATTTGACAATTCATAAAATCTGACGTATGTGTCAAAATTTATAAATATTTTTTTAAAGAAAATTCCATTAATTTAAGGTATGTAATAAGTAATAATTGATATTTCGTAAACTAGATAACTTATTTTTTATTGTTTTTTAAAAAATGTTTGTTAAAACTTGTAAATAACACCATAAAATCCTAAACAAAAATCCAATATGGAGGCTAAAATTTAATCGCTGTTAAATAGTTCTAGTGATTTAATCGCTTATTTAAACGAAATTTATTCGAAAATTCAAGGCTTTTGATTGGTTCATATTATAATGAGGGAAATAATCATATATTATATCACGAGAACTATGAATTTAATCGGTTAAACTAGGCTCAGTAGTTTTTTGTTTGGTTTTTCTTGGAAAATGTTGAATGCAAAATAATTTAATAAAATCACGAGACCGCGTAGCGGTCGAGGGGTTTTATTTTTAATTATTTTGCATGAAACTATTTTCCAAAAAGAAAAATCAAATAAAAAACTTACTGAGCATAGTTTGACAGATTAAATTTATAGGTTGAGTTATATACGTCTAGATTATTTCTCGAATTAAACGAAACTATTTGACCATTCATAAAATCTGACGTATGTGTCAAAATTTATAAATATTTTTTTAAAGAAATTTCCATTAATTTAAGGTATAAGTAATAATTGATATTTCGTAAACTAGATAACTTATTTTTTATTGTTTTTTAAAAAATGTTTGTTAAAACTTGTAAATAACACCATAAAATCGTAAACAAAAATCCAATATGGAGGCTAAAATTGAATCGCTGTTAAATAGTTCTAGTGATTTAATCGCTTATTTAAACGAAAAATTTATTCGAAAATTCAAGGCTTTTGATTGGTTCATATTATAATGAGGGAAATAATCATAGTAAAATCTTGAAATCAGCTAATTTTTGAATCTTAGATTTAAATTTTATGGCTTTGTTCTAATATAGGGAAAACTTATAATTCAAGGCCAAAATCATTACTAAAATGGTACATAATCAGTGATAAAATGTACTTGAAATCCTGTAGAAAAGGGTTTTAATTTCTGCACAATGGTTCTTAACTTAAGTGAAGGGTTTTTGAACAGGTGTGTAAAGTTAGAGTGGTTGAAGTTTAAAAGCCACAAAAAGACAGTGTGGGACTAAAAATAAAGTTTAGTTTTGAAACTATTTGTGGTAATCAATAAGCTAAAAAATGGCTCAGACAAATAACATACATTCTATTGACCCAGGAAGTCTTGAAGAAGGAATTTATCCAAATAAACATGGCTAGAAACTGGAGTGCGTTTAAGTCATGCCTGGGACTATAAATAATACGTGGTTTGTGTGGAAATGCAATTTTAATGTTTAATGTATGTATGTCTTGGCCAGATGTGAGCTGTGGGATTTTCTGGGCGAATTATAATTGAATAATTAAATGAGGTTGTAAGAAAAATAGTTGCCTAATTGGTTCTAGATGACAGCTATGATTTATGGTTCTAGATTTGTGAGAGTAAATAACTATGTATTTTAAAATGAGGGGAAAGGGGGGAAGTCGATAAAGATAATGAAACTTCATCAATTGAAGTTAAGGAATTACTTACTATTCTATATTAAAGATTTATCATCTCACCATTCCGCAAGTACGAGGTGTGTTCAGAAAATAACGGGAATTGTTAAATTTCGCGGGTTCGGAGGGTCCGGTTGTCATAAAATTTTCTTTATTATGTTAGCTGTTTTCATTGTTTACTTTGTCTGTGGCAGCCTCTAAGGTTAGACGTGTTTTATGAGCTCAGCGATTTTTCGTTCGTTAAAAGAAATGGATCAAAGAATTTGTATCCAATTTTGCTTAAAAAATGAAATTAATTCTGTGAAATGTTAACAAAGGCCTATAGTGAGTCTGCTATAAGTAAAACAAGAGTTTACAAGAGGTATAAGAGTTTCCAAGATGGCCGTGAAGACGTTGAAGATGACGAACGCCCCGAACGCACAAGCACATTAACAATCGATAAAAACATGGAAAAAGTTAAAGAAATGGTTATAAACCATCAGAGAAGTCGCTAATGATGTTGCTATATCGATTGGCTCATCCCATGAAATTTTTTCAAATGTTTTGGGTATGAAACGCGTGACAGCAAAATTTGTTCCAAAATTGTTAAATTTTGAACAAAATTTTCGGCCAAAAATAATACTGTAATGATGCCCCAGCCTCCATATTCGCCAGACATGCCTCTGTCTGACTTTTTCCTATTCCCAAAAATAAAGAGAACCTTAAAGGGCCGTCGTTTTGCAAGCATAGATGACATTAAAAGCGTATCGCTGAAAGAACTAAAGGCTATCCCAAAGATCGAGTTTTAGAAGTGTTTCGAGTATTGGAAGAAGAGCTGGCACATGTGCATTGAAGGCGACAACATTAATGTAGACGAATAAATAAATATTTGTTTAAAAAACGAAAATTCCCGATATTTTCTGAACACACCACGTATTGGCCTGTTTAAGCAAAATTTTTATTCGTACCTATAATATAGAGGTAAAATATACATAATTGTTTTTTATGTGATTCTTTGGCCAACCTAATATCACTCCAACATCTAAAATTCAATACATTCATAGTATTATGATAATACTACACACATAAATATAATTACCTCCATTCTATCAAATTTCACTAATTTAGCAGCTCTTTCATAATTCCAAACCAAATATTAACTAACAAAAGAAACAATCTTTCAAAATATCGGGCACTTTCGTGAGTGGGGGATATTTTTAAGAATAGGCCAGTCGTACCAATATTTACTAATCTTAGAATAAATATAATTATATTTATATACAGTATAGTTTTAAATCTTTAAGAACGGAATAGAGGGAATTTTCCAAAATTTGGTTTAATCGATTGTTAATCTTAAATTAAGAATAAGATTATTTCATTTAAAGTCTTTCTTAACATTTAACAGGCAAGAATAAGATCTGCTTGTTTGAAGAAAGATTAATTTTTAGTTTAATGTTAGTTTTAGCCTTGACAATATTAGGTTTGATTTTAAGCTAAGAAATAAAAGCTTTTTAATTTTCAAAAAATTACCAATAAAGTCAACAATAGACTATTGATCTCAAAGGTGAAGGATGATTTTGACCCAATTGGGCATGTGTCCCAAATAAATTAGATTAATAATTGCTTCGTTGGAAAATTGTTCATCAACCCCAAAGGCTCTCTTTTGATGGGAAAATGTGAAATATCGCGTGAAATTCGAATTTAGGCTTCCAATGAAATCTGCGCGTCACGCGCATGTTGTGAGCAGTTTGTCGACCCTCGTTCACTGTAGTAGACTAGTTGTTGAGTGTTCGCACTTTTCATTTCGTATTATTAATAATAAATGGATAATAATAACAAATAAACAGTCTTAAATTTATAAAACCCTATACTCTGTGTTTTTTTACAAATATAATACTTTAAATGTATATTAAGCGTAGTTATATTAAAGTGATGATAATTTTATGTTTACATTTTTGATGTTGAGCACCTATACATATACATAATATGTATTAGATAGATAGATATACTACTTTAGACAATTGGTAAGTTGTTTGTATAAAGTAGAAAACCCTTATAGTGTAACTGATACACGAACACATTGTATATCATATTAAATTCTACAAAATAAACACACTTTCAACACATATATTTTTTTATTTATTTATAACCCTACACACACCAAAAATTTATTGACACAATCCAAGCAACAACAAAACTTAACTTTCTTGTTTGTTTTTCGGAAAAACTTCCCCACGTTTCATAAAATTAGGATCAATATTGCACCAGCAAGGGGTGTGACCTACATTTACCATAGTTAAGTTGTCCTGATTCTCTGAAATCCTTTGTTATTAAACATGCATTAATTTAACTGGATTACATGCCTCTAATTTAATTACTAAAATAATTTTAATACGTAATATTTTAACCTATAATTCTTGCACGACTTTTCTATAGATGACTAATATAAACATTATGTCAGTAATTACCCTTAAGGTCAAAATTCCTTTGATAAGTCACCCCTGCAGACCAATTAAGTTATTAAACAATAATTAAGATAATCGTTATCTTAACAGGCTCTCAGAAAATCAAATTATCTTTAGACATTTCCCAAATTAAGTTGTTTCGTATTCTCTACTTTTAAATGGTGAAACGATTTTTAGTTGATTCTTTAAGTCTTTCTATCATTGGCATTTTGTATTAATTATTTATAAGCTTGCAAATATTTTTTACTGTTATATCATTAATTAATTCAATGAACATATTATTTACATCCTACTTGCCTTATTATTTTTTTTTTAAATTAAACTGGTCGATAAATTTAATCGTTTATTTATACAGGGTGCCTCAAAAACACTGACTACTTTAAAAATAAGAAATTTGTTCTGATTTTTAAAATTCGCATATTTGACAAAATATATTTTCTTTCACTCTGTATACTAAAACAAGAACAAATTGTATAATAAAACCACAAAAAAGGCCACGACAATTAATCTGGTTCCGATTAACCAGTCCTTACTATAAACAGCGCAAAGTGAAAGCCGAAACAGACCAAATCCATCACACATGTTTTTTATTTATTTATTTAATTCGTAACAACGTTTTCTTTCTATTGCAGTATAAACTCAACGAAAATATGCAGAGGTGTCCCTACATCCACGAGATGAAAGAACGCCTATTGGGCGAACAAATTCCAATAGTACCAACCCCGCAAAAAATACCCACACCGCCCCCTATGAACATGGACCAACAACAGCTACTGCCGCAACAGCCCGTTGCCACTATAGTTAAGGTGAAAACATATATTTTTAAATTTGCTTCCTCAATTGTGTTTTTCACATTATTAAATACAGGGTGTTATGAAATTAATGTAATATATTAAAATACTGGATACCAACCAACAAAGTTACCAGTTGTAAAAAATTGTTACTAAAAATTTTTCTTGCAAAAAATAAATAAAAACTCAATAAATACAAAAGTTTTGTGCCCTTAAAGCTCTAATACCCTTCTGTATTTATTTACTCACCCAGCTATTAGCTTAAGCAATATTTAGAAAATTTAGTACCAATTTTAAAAACTCTATAACCACAAAATTAATTTTTTCATCGTTTTTTTCTTTCTGTCTACTCAGATGAAATTGGGACAAGTTAACAGGTTAAACTTTAAACATTCAATTTGTGTAAATAAATCCAAAAGCACTTCCCTTAGTTAAGATATTTACAATTTGGGCCCATAACCTAAAATTTGAAAGAAATGCACTCGATTCTGTCATAAAAGTTGCCAGATTTTGTTTGAATTTACCTTCATTACAAAAATGACATAATAAACAATTAATAAAAACGCCAAATTAACAATTTGCATTGTTGATTATGTCATTTTTGTAATTAGGCTAAATTTAAACAAAATTTTGCGACTTTTTTGACAGAATCTGGAAACGCTGGTTGTTACCAACCATAACATAATAAATTAAATTAGGCAACCACATTAGCCTAAAGTTCCTAGTCGATCAGTGGCGTACTTTTTGGTAGGATAAAGGTTATTATAAATTATTTTTAGTCTTAGAATTTAGAAAAAAAAGTTTCAGGTGCTTCTTTAATTTTAATATATACTTTACATCTAAAATATGTTTTTACATTAATAAACTTGTTTAATTGTGTTTTTAATATTCTACGTAAAAGTAAACGTTTTAATTTTTCTTTCAGTTGAACCCAGATGGTTATGGGTCTCATACGTCACCAACCCATCATAGAGTCATAGATAGGGCTTCCCTTTTACTTAAAGAGCAACACGATGACTATTGTAGCCATGTAGATAGAAAACAATATCCAAAAAACGCAAAGTAAGTAATTTTATTTTTATATGATTGTTGCAAAAATGGCGAATGCTTCGGGATTAATCCTAGCAACTTTTAAAATAAACGCATTATTTCAATATAAAGTATTTTATCCGAAATCGGCAGTAAAGTAGTCAACAATCGGCAGTAAAGTAAAACTTTACTGCCGATTTAATACGAGTAATGTATGCAACCAATTATACATTTTAAGATGTGTCTACTGCTCCTCAGCAGCAACTAAATAATATTTAAAAAAAAGCACCGTCGCGGAGGTCGATTGGACCCTTTCAAAAAATGTTGTTTAATAAAAATAATAAGTTAATTTTATTAATTAGATTAAAAAATCGCCGCGGGGGCAAATATATAATAACCGTCACAACAAACAGTATACTGTTTGTTGTGACGGTTATTATATATTTGCCCGCCGCGGCGATTTTTTAATCTAATTAATAAAATTAACTTATTATATATATACTACATTCAAATGACATTTGATTTGATCATCAAATGACAATTGATTTAATTATCAATATTAATTTTTAGTATTATTAAATGCGATTTCGGATAAAATTTAATGTGCACCTCGGCATTAAAGTCATTTTTTATCACTCACGTGGTTATTTGCCTTGGATTTCGCCTCTGCAAATAATTTCCACATTCGTGATAAAAAATACGACTTACTACCTTGATACATAAATAACTATTGTTTACATGTATTATTAAAAATAACGATAATTCTTAAACTATCAAGAAATTCAATACAGCATTGTTTATAAATTAAGTAACCATATAGTAGAACAAATTTATTTATAAACCATTCTGTAATCACCTAAATACATAAAATGGACCACACAAGTTCATTTATTGATATTAATAATTTTACTACTTAATTCTAATCACATACTCATTAAAGTGGTTCACAGTTTTATGAAAAGAAAAATGGTTGAATATTGCCTCTACATATACTTTTTGTATGTGATTCTGACTGAATATTTTGACTTTCATATGTTAATAATCTTGATAATCTTGCGATTTTATAAGGGTAAAATGATTAAAGTTTTGTTAAAGTAATTTAAAAATTAAATTATTTTAAAAAATATTTAAAATATCATTATTAAATTTTAATACAATTTTAATATAATAGGAATCTTATTTCTATACAATTCTATATATTTTAATTTAATTTGATCAGCAGTGGCAATTTTATACAGGTTTAAAATTTAATATAACAATCTTCCAAATAAATATAATAATCTTACAAGAGTACGTAATATGAATTTAATATCATGGAATCTTAAATAATTTTTTCTACTCCCACCTTTAAAACGCCCTTTATCGTACATGTTTCCATGACACTAAGTGACCTTTTAAATACACATTGACAAGTTGTGGCTTTATGGCGCTTTAGTCACGGGCTGAAGTTAGCAACAGGTGTTTAGTCACGGGCTGAAGTTAGTTTGAAGTTAGTTGACAGTTGTCAATTTTCATACAATCGTTAAAATAAAATGCCTTTCTTGTAAAATTATTTTATTAACTCAATACAAAATTACAAAAGGATTAATTAGTTTCTCAACGCCAATATTTGGAAAGTTTATATGAACATTGTACTGACCTTTTAATTTCGCCGGCATTAAACTATAACTTAAATTCGGGCACGGACTTCACTGTTAAGTCCTCATAAAACATTTTCTTTACTTTCACTGTGAAAAACTGTCAATTTTCAAGAAATACATTTCGATGTATAAGCTTTATAATCTGTGTTTATAAAATATAAAAATGTGACATTTGACGGCGACACACAGATTCTCCTATTGTTTCATAGATGGCGTTCTATACAAATTTTTGATTTAAATCATTTTAAGATAATAATAACTATTTGTCGTAGAAAAAGTATAGTATGCACCTCGTTTATAAACTTTTCTATGTCACTGTCAGTGTTTTGGTTTTTTAGGTTTAGGAATGTTAATTTTTTTGTGTGGGACAAATATCTTATTATTGGCGAGTCTGATCACAAAACGGCAAAGACTAATCTTAGAATCCCATCCTTTATAAAGGATGGGATTCTAAGTCGAACTAAAAAAGACTTGCAAAAAAATAATAATTTAAAAAAAGAAAATAACGGATTTATATGCTATATACAGGGTGTCTCAAAAGTCAAGGACAGCAGCAAAGGGGTGGATATATCAGTGCAGTGCTGGTCTTAAAACTGTTTTGTAAAAATAAAGTTGTTATGATACGGAATCAGTCCTAAATAAAACTAAAATAAAGGACACTTTTTACAAGAAGATATGCAGAGATTTAACGTTGTATTTAGAGTTCATAGATCGCATCGCATAGAGGGCCCTAATAAGCTTTAAATTCCTGCCACAGCTTCCCTAATGCTGCTGCGTACGCGCCACCAGAGGGGAAACAGCAGGAAAATCAATAAAAGCTCATAAAGTGACATAAACCGGGAAATAAACACCGATACGATACAATTTCCACCTATTTATCATAACACCCATGACAATTAGCTCCAATATCATCGAGTCGGCCACGACTCGACAGCCTTTTGTTTATTTCAAGGCCATGCCATGCTACCGCGGGAAATCGTGGGAGCAGTTTTTTCAAATTGTTTATAAAAAATGATATTTTGTTATTGTTCATTTGGGTGAGGTCACGACAGGGGTTATTGGGTCAAAATCCCGGGAAAGCTAGGCGGTCTAGCCAATGGGGGAGCGTTTCGGGTGGGCACGTGATCGCGTACAGCATCCCTTCCCGTTCGGAGCTTTCTGTGGGAGGCTGCTCCTCAGTTGGGTCTGTTAAAGTGACGAGGGACATTTTGCTATTCGAAAAATCGTTGTTTCAAACGATTTTTGGGAAACTTTGGGATGTTCATCGTCGTCTAAAATGTAAATTAAACTTTCACAAGTAATATTAATTATACAGCATCAACTGGGAACGTTCCTCCGTGCCAATAACATCGATGATAGATCGAATAATGTGATAAAATCAACGAAGATACAATCAAACACTCAAAAATTCTTAAAATTCGTATTAAATCATGGTGAATAGTGATGTAAAAGTGGCCACGGTCGAGGTGGAGTCCATAGACAATATGGCGACTCTACCAGTGAGTCGCTCTCACAATAACGACGAAAAAAATATAGCCACCAACAAGGAAATGGAGCTAAAATACGTGCAACCGAAACCGGATAAAAGGTATATCAAATTACATAAGAAATAAAAACACTCTCCCTCAACAAAGAACAATGCGTAATTGCCCCTTTAGCGCCTTTGTACGGGCTCAAAAACATTTATATAATTTCAAAAGCTAAACTGGTTGCTTTGGAATTAAATGAAATGGTTTAGATGAATGGGCGTTATTCAACAAAAAACTTTTGATCCTTCTTTTTACATCCTGCATCATATTTTTAAGCCGATGCTTTCAATCTCGAGTCCTTTTATGCACTTCAATATTGATTTGCCTTCGATATGCTCTATTTTTCCTCAACAAGGTCATGAGGATATTAGTTTGTTGTCATCAAAGTATTCATAATTTTTCAAGCTTGACGTTTCTATAAATATTATAAATTCCATGATACAAAATAAATTTGTTAAGCTCTCGTGTTGCGTGACTGGACAAAAGAATTTGAAAACGGAAACGCCTGGTATAAAATAAATATGAGTCATTTAAAAAGTAATTTTAATATTTTAATCCGATCGAAAATTCTTTACCATGATAATACAGGTATTTTAAAAGGGGGTACTTTTAATGCTGTACCCCCCAAATTTGAAGATTTTTGTTTCAAAACCTTAATATTTAAAATTTCTACATAAATATTACCATAACTTTTTAAAAAATATTTAACAATAAGACTGTTTTGTTCTCCAAGAAGAAAAAATATTTATTGGTAACTACCGAAAATTTTATAAAAATCGGAGTATTATTGTAGATCACATTTATTATTCAAACTTGACGATTTTGTCACAAGTTACGAGACCTTAAAGTAAAAAGCTTATATCCAATTATTTAAATTTTTATGCATTTTAGATCATACTAAATTTTTTTTTTTTATAAAGTTATCACTTAAGGAATATTATTTATTTATAATTTATATAGGTATGCCGTTGTTTTAAAGATTTTAGTTTTTTTCTTATAAATATAATATATTATTATATTATAAAAAGGATAGTTTGTTTGTTTAAACTTTATTTACGTTTACTTAAAAATAAGAATATTTCAATTTTTAATAATAGTTTTATAAAAACATGCAAAAAAGTATAGTAATTAGACATTTTATATGGTAATTGGACACATGGACCATAGTTATTGGACATACAATTTTTATATAAACATAACAACTTTACATCAAATAACAAAAATTGTTAAATATTTTTTTAAGATAAATTGCTGTTTTAGGTAATTTTTTTTATTTCGTTTTTGTGAATATATAATTCATATATTTCTTTCTCGGATTCCTCATCCCTTTTCTGAATTCTGAAGGTAACTACTAATTCCTTGGTCTGACTTCTAAAATTGATTGTTGCAAATATCATTAAGTGTGGTATCTCTAGTTTGTGAAGCATTTATAACGTTTAGGCCGGAACAGAATAGTTTATATATAGATATATCTAATATTTTTTCGGGTGGTATGTTAAAAGTATTTTCCGAATTTATTAATTTTGTTGCCATTAGTTTTTTATGTTCTCTATCATGCACTGTATTTAAATTACTGTTATTCTGCAAGATGTCTTGTGACGAAGAAATCACTATATTACTTACTCTCTAAAAATGAATTAGTCAAAAATGTCAGCGAAAAAGCAGACACTAATAATTATCGTCAACAGCAATTTGTATCCAGGACATTTAGCAGTCAATTCCTATGGAATATTATTCGCTGAATCCGAAAATGTCGTCAAAAGTTATAAAAGTAGAACAGTTTTTGAAATATAATCAATTTTACATATAATATGGAATTGACTATATCTCACAAACTGCTTAACTTTTATAGTTTTTGACGGTCTTTTCGGATTCAGGGGACAATTTTACATAATAATTGGCTGGTAAATGTCCGGGATATAAATAGAGTATGATATTGGACATATGTCCAATAATAAAAATTTACATTTTTTTACCAACCAGTAATAGGACACTGGCCATTTTACTGTTTGTTTTCAGAATTAAAATTAAAATGCATTAAAGTAACAATGTTTAAACCATGAAATATTTTGTATAGTAATTTAAACACAGCCCTGCTCTTAACAAAAAAAAAGCGACTGAGATAGTTATAATTGTATACAGTGTCATCTAATGATTTGACTTTAAGGTAACTATTTATAGAACTCTTGTTTTTACAGTCTTAATGTTAATTGTCCAATAACTATAAAGTGTGCGATAACTGTCTACTTTACCCTAAATATATACTACCAAAAAATACATCTTTTATATTGCAATAATATGTTTTATGTTACGAGACCTTAAAATAAGTAAATTTGTCTGAAATATTAAAAATTTAACAACTTATATTCAAATATTTAAATTTTTATAAAAATTTTAGATCATAATAAAAAATACGGGCATTTGGACATTATTAAATCGTTTATGCAAAAATCCATTTAGAAAAATTTCCGTAACTTAAAAAAATCACAAAAAACTGTTTGGTTTTCCAAAAAGAGCATATATTTTATAGTAATTACCGATAAATTTATAAATATCTGAATATTTTTGCAGATGTTGCAAAGCTTAAAAGTCGACCACATTTTTTTCAACAACAAAATATTTACCAAAACGTCAAAAGAAAATTCTCTATCGCAAATGAATTAAAATTGTATAAACAATAATTTAATTTGAGCGTAATCATAAACCTTGAATTTTTCCTGAAATAACGGCCAGGCTGTTTCTCGGGGACGCTGAAACGCCACTGAAACTGTATTATTAGTAAATAGAGTCAAATTTATTAATAGTATATTTAGTAGATATTTAGTTCAGTAGTTGAAAGTCGGTTTTGCATATACTGTAGTTATTATTTTATGTGTAGTTAAAATGATGAAGTATTTTTGTGTTTCTGAGGTCCCAAGGTATAAACATCGTATTATAGTACTTAATAGTAAGAAAAAAGGCATTACTAACCTCAAAAAATGTATAAATGAAGCAAGACTAATATGGTTGTATTTTTTCCAGGACCTCCCTCTTCATAGTGATGAGTTTCGTTTATGCGAAACTCTTGGTGGTCATTTGCGTCGCTTACGTGGTTTCCGATGTGGTAACCCACAACATTCCGCTCTACTACTACGAAGGTTTTTTTACATATCTTTACGGAATGAGCATTCTGTTTTTGCTCTACGTGTTTTGCTTCCTGCTTCAAGAAAGCACTTGCTGTTCCGGCGGTGAAAACGAAAAGGAGGTAGTGGTGAAAAAACCGACGAAAGAAAAATCCAAGGAGAAGGAAAAAGAGAAGAAGAAGGAAGAGGAGCAGAAGAAGAAGGAAGAAAAGGAACGGCAGAAGAAAGAGAAAAAGGACAGGGAAAAGGAGAAGGATAAAGACAAAGACAAGTCCAAGGATAAGAAGGATAAGAAGCAAGAAAAGGTAAATTGTCAAATAATAATAATGCTTTATACGACTAATACAGGTTGAATCGAACAATAAAAACAAAAATTAACAATTTGGGGTGGCCTTTTTCAATTATTTCTTCTTCATTACTTATAATTTTTTTACTAATATTTATTTTAAGAAAAATGTCTAAAATTCTCTTAAGTAATCCAATCACAACTCTATCCAAAAATAATCTCTACTTTAGACATTTTTCACTGTTAACTAATTTCTTTTATTATTTTTATTTTATTAATTTTATGTTATGAGCATGTTGTGCGTGTAGCGCGAAAAATTTCCACGTAAGATGCGCGACGTAGTCCAGCAGAGGTCGCTTTTCCTGACGAAAAATCAGGTGAGAGTTTTTTTAATGAGAAAAATCATTTTTACGTATTTTGCCATTGCAACTCTTATAAGTAGCTTGGAATTTAGCCTGTGGACTCTGTTGGAATAGTTAAGCATAGTTTAAGGTTTAAACCCTGCTTAATTTGTGAAAAATTTTATTTTGTTTCTTCAAAAAGGCATATAAAATCTTAAATTCGATCTAAATATATCGATTAGGTGCTACCCAGATGTACACAATCCACTAAGTTTATTTTTGTTTCCAAAAATAACTCTTACGGAAGATTGTATACAAACATATTAATAATTAAGTAGTATAAAAATAGAACCATTTTTTATATTCCTTTTTAACCCCATTGTGTGTAATAATATTCCACATCAAACACTTAACATACGAAAAGGCTTTAAAGTGGTGATTTAAAGGGCTTACCCACATTTTTTATTTTTATGATTTGTTTTATAAATAGCTTTATAACTTTAAGACCTTACTAAAACACATTAAATACACGCACAACTGACGCTTATATTTCTTTTTTATTATTTATACAGGGTTTTCGAAATTATCCTTCTCCTAAAAAAACAGCCAAAAATATTTTTACAATAGGCCCTTTTTTATGAAATTATCAGATTTAGTGTAAAAATATTTTCCTTAAACTGTTTGTTGCAGAAATGACATTTGCATCCATTTACAAATAATAACTGTTGGGATACGAAGAACTAACACTTTGACTCGTAAGATCGTTTATTGTAAATAAGTTTTACATAATAATTAAATGAATAATTAAATATTCGAGAAGTTAAATCTTAAGTTAAGTGAGTGAAAAGTAAATAGTAAGTGTCCTTTTGGTTTCTAAAAATGAGCTTTTATACAGCGCGATAATTTTTATCAGTTAATGGAAAAATAGAAGCGCTGTCTTTGAAATTATGAAATATCTAATGATGCGTAATAATTACTTGAACTATTTGAACTTTTTATTAATTTAATTTATGGACTTATTTTTTGTAACCCTAAAGATCACGACTAAAAGATTATTTAATATACATTAGAAAAACAAACTGTTACCAAATAAATATACAGGGTCTAACAAACCTCCCCCGTTAAGTGTTTCGATAAGGGTTAAAAATCCTATTGAAACACTAAATGGTAAAATTAAATTATACAATCTAAAACTTATAAAACACTAAGTAAACTACAAAGATACAATTAAAATTTAAAGTGTACAATATATAAAATAAAAATTAAAATAAAATAAAATAGTTGTAATTATATAACTAAACAAAACTAAAATTATGAAATTAAATTTTAAAAGATTTCTTCGAAAGACGAGGCCTACGCATCTCCGTGTAGACAGGTTCTAAATCCTCCATGGGCATTGCATCTGCTTCGGAGTTGAGACTACGATAGCTTCTTCTGTGAGGTGGAAAATCATCCAGGTTGACTCGGTTATCAGATACAGTATTGTGGCTGTTGATACAAACCAGGTGACGGCATTGGTCGGGGTTGAAATATTTCTTTATTGAGTTTAGAAATCTGCAACGACAACATCGGCAACAAACATAGTAGCATATTATTAGCATTACTAATGTTCCAATTATTCCAAAGAAGATGTTGTACCATTTGGAATGGTTGATAATGAATGGTTGGTTTATATTTTTCTGTAGGACGTCGTCGAACTGTTGGAGTTTATGTTGGGCATGACTCAGTTCATTGAGGTTGAGGCTGTGGAGTTTGATTGAAGACATTTCTTCATTTTTAAGGTAGGATTGCTCCTTGATACAGCAATCGTCTTTATTGATGTCCAGCATAGGTATAAAATTTGTATAATTTGACGTTTGGTTGGAAGTTGAAGTCAATAACGTGGAAGTAGTGTAGCATTTACATTTCGGTTGTAACGTAAAAATACCGGAGCCTTGAAGTACAACGTCTGTGATTTGTGAAGCACCATAATTTTCGCAGCTTATGGTCCCAGTGACTGGTTGTGTTAAGATGTATAGCCATTGATTTGTTGAGAGGGGATGCCAAACTTCGATTTCTGACTTCATGGTTTTGGTGTCGCAGTTTGATGGGATTTTTTCAGGTTTTTGAAGTTTCAGAATCGTTTCGCAGGTTGGTCTTTCCTTGATTAGATGTATGATGATGTTGGAACAAATGTACTCGGATGGTGATATCTTCTGGCATTTCGATAATTCTGACATCTCTCCATAATACGTTCTTGTCGTACTTAGGATAAGGTAAGGGAAAGAAGGGTTTATATAGGAGTATATTGAAGAGTTTTGATATTGGACAGGTAAGGGAATCAAATTATATAGTTGATACAAATCTTTAGTTACTAGTGGTATCTTAATTGCATAAATTAAAACTTTATTTGTGTAAACTACTGAGAGTGAACATATTTGCGTGTATTTAAAAATGTTTGCATTATCATCTAGGTCTATTGGAAAATCTAAATCTGTTCTTTTATTATTAATTTTCAATAATTCTTCGCGTAAAGATTTTGGAGTAATTATTGAAGGGTGTAAGATATTTTGTTTGGAAAATAATATTGAAGAAATAATAACATCGAATTCTTCGTCTAATTCTTCGGTAATTTGAGATAATAAATTTAAATGATCCATTACTGTTTGAACGTAGGTTAATGAATTTATTCTAATAATGCTTGAGTTTGAAAATTTATTAAATATTTTTATATTTTTGTTTAACTTTTCTTCATTAAATTTAAGTGTCAATGCTGACCTATTATAACCAGAGATCGCTTCAGAGATTATATGAACTTGTTGCTTTAAAAGTTTTTGCATGTCTTGATTTTGATTAACTACTGCATGAATTGCGTCATTATAATATTCTGCGTCATCTGCATCGGGGATTCCAAATAACCATTTAAATGTATAAGATACACCGTTAATTAATCCTCTTTTTACTCTAAGTGACATTTTATCAGGTTCATGACCTGTTAGGTGGTTTATGGCTTCGAGTTTTTTATTTAATTTTTCAAGTCGAATTTCTATTAATTCTAGAGATTCTTTGCATAAAAATTCAGAATGTCTGAATGTTACATTTTTATCGTTAGGGTGCATGCATAAGGGTTTTGAGATATAAAACGATTTTTCGGCAAATTTTAATTTCATTTCATAAATGCTTATATTATTGAATGATAAGAGTGTAAAATAGTCTTGGGTTAGTTTTACTTGACCTAAGTCTTGATAAAATATTCCTGATTTAAAATCTAATTTTTGGTTTTTATAGGGGATATTACCGGATATAGGCGGGAGTGTTAATATGTTAATTAGTGTCAGAACAAGAAGGGTTTTCATCTTCTGGAACAAAAGGTTTTAATAAATTATGATGAACGACTGATGTTTTCTTGTGACTAATTTGTATTTTGACCGTTTGATTAGGATGAATGTTTATGATTTTATAGGGACCTTTATAATTTGGCTGTAATTTTCTGCTAATACCGGGTGTAATATTTTTATTTAGGATATATGCTAAATCGCCTACTTTAAAATTGTGTGAATGAACATTTCTATCATAATAAATTTTAGAAGTTTCTTTGGCATTTATTATATTTTCTCGAGCTAGTTGGAATGACCTATTTAGTTTTAATTTTAAGTTAGAATAATAATCATCGTAAGTATATTTAAATTCTGGTTTACAGGTAAGAGTACTAGGTATAAAAGCTTTATGACCAAAGAGTAGTTCGTAAGGTGTGAATTTAGTAGATTTATGATAGTGGGTATTGTAAGTGAACATAGCTAAGGGTACGTATTCGTCCCAATTAGTTGTTTTATCGTTTATGTAGTGTCGTAAATATTCTTTTAGAGTCAAGTGGCTTCTTTCTAAACTACCGTTCGTTTGGGGATGATAAGGGCTAGATAAAATGTGTTTAATTTTAAAAAGTTTATTTACTTCTTTAATTAGATTTGAGGTGAAGTCTGTACCTTGATCTGTTAAGATTGTCTCGGGTATACCAAATATACAAATAAATTGCAAAAGTACGTCAGCGACTGTTTTTGCTTCGTGATTAGGTACAGATGTTGCATATGAATATTTTGTTAGATCGTCTTGCATGGTAACGATAAATTTATTGCCTGCCTCTGTTAATGATAAGGGACCAACTACATCGATCGCTAATCTTTGAAAAGGTCGCTCGCTCGTTGTAGTTATCTCCATAGGAGCTTTTGGGGTTTTATGAACTAATTTGTTAATTTGACAAGATTGGCAACTTTTAATAAAGTGTTTTATATCACCTTTCATGTTTGGCCACTTATAATTTTCTTTAATTCTATGATAAGTTCTTAAAAATCCGGGATGACCGGCTACTGACGAAGAATGATTCTCTTGTAAAATATTTTTTATTTCTTCGCGGGTTTTAGGACAAAATTTTGGTTTGTTTACAAGTACAATTTTGATATTTGATTTTGAGAATAAAAATTCTATTAATTCGTTAAATAAATCTTGTTTGATATTTTTATTTTCTTCTACAGGATTTTTAAGATATACTGTAAAAATCTTATTTGTTAAAAGAATAGACCGGAGTTTTTGCAAAGAGTAAAATAAGTCATTGTAAGTTATTTTGTCAAAATGATTTAATTTTGAAATTACTAAAAATGTGGTTTGATTATTTGAGTTTTTTAAAGTAATAGTGTCATAAAGA